CTTTGCGAATGCAAATTTGATAAAATTAAATTTATAAAACACATTAAATGATAATACTTTACCCTTTATTACATAAAATTTAATGCATATTTAATCTATAGCCTAGACATGAAATGTCGTTTTCAATGTTATTAAATTTCGTTAGAAAATTTTAGTAAACTGCTGTATGTAAAAATAGTAATTGAATGGACCCTACATGAACTCCAGAATAAATATTTGTTAAGTTTTCTTCAAAAGTATTATTTGATGATAATTACGTTTTTGAACATAATTTTCTACGAAGAAACGAAATATTATTTCTGACATTTTATTTGCCCATACAGACAGATCGAAATTTAAATCTGTATACACGTCTTGGAGTAAAAAGTCTAAAAAACCTAGTTTATGATATGTTCTGCAAGAACAGAGACCTTATAATCTTATCACTAACCATTAAACGATATATAACTATCATACAGAGGTCGGGAGTTACTTTTTGATAGCGTTGTAAAGTGCCTCTACCAAAAGTTAATACGCTTGATACACGCCAGCATCCGCCAGTTTGCATGCACAAATGAATAGTTTCCTTCTTCGTAAGATTTATGTTAAAATAGTTCCTCATACTAGTCTCTACAAAGGTAATACAACGCCTTGTAGTTGATATTTATATAACTAAGCATAAATGTTGTAAATTTTATGTATACCTATATATTTTTTATTCTATATTCATAATGAAATTTCTTTTTAAATGACATGAAGGGCGTAGGTTAACATGTACATATTTTATCTTAATAAACCTCAAATTGACTCCACTGACTCCCACGCATTCATCTTTTTTTTTCAAAAGATTGCTAATTTTGGCAGATATCAAAACCTTTTTATAAAAACTTTTATCGAAATTGTTATTTCATATGTTTTTCTATTTCTCTTAAGCACTTTTTTTATATAATGTAGTTAATAAAGTAGTATTTACAAAACTACACATATTTTTATATGTTTTTTGTTACAAATTTCCGTTCGAAAACAATTCCTGTAATTTATTTCGGAAGTCAGCCCGTGTGTATTTCGGATTCTGAAATCGAATCAGGAAACCGTGCATGTGCGACTAGCCTTATAAAACTTTTAGTACAGCAGTTTAATCGTCTTCTGCTCCATCACGGTACAAGTGTACTTAACTACCGTATCTAATGACCCTCTATAAGGAATAAAATTAAAATTTCGCTTTATGAACTCGCTAAAAAGCAATTCTGCGACACGAAATAATAAAGTAGGCTATTTTACTATAACCAGTTCTCTTTAAAACCTATCTCAAAAATCTGCTATAGCTTTTTGTGCTTTTTGTATAAAAATATATAGAAAGTAGTGAAAGAATTCGTTTTGGATCTCTGTTTTAAGACACGGGAAAAAATAACGTCAAAAATATACCGACATACAATTAAAAGAAATATCTAGATATCGATTCAGATAACTATAGGTAAGCATAATAGAAAATTGTTATCGGAGGCTCATTTACCTAACAAGCAATTGTGTCGGTCTGATTATTTTATAAGCGCCTTAGATATAAGTACGTAATTCTAGTAAGAATCGACATATGTACATATATTCGTATAATAAAGGATGAGTTTAAACTTTTACAAACAAATGCCTTGCATAATTATTAATCACAAGTATTTTTTTTTATTTATATAACAAATTCGACGAAAGATTTTGCTTATTGAGATTGTCTCAGTCGTTACGCAAGCACAGCACATACGTAAAGCTGTCGAGATATTTCCCGCGGGGATTCCTCCACTCCCTTAGATAACGAGATAATTTGATTTTCAGTTGCTAGCATGTGATTCAGTGTTCGTAAAATATGTTAAAATACTGAGAATTATAAAGGATTTGCTCCTAACATGCAAATATGTATGGTACGTGGTATGATTATTTACTACAATTTATAATATACTACTCATTATAATGTGATATTGAAAAATAAATCTTAAAGAAATATTCAAATATTTTTTAAACATTTTTCAAGACTAACTTTTCTATGTTTCATGAAAGGTCGAGTGTAAACATACATTGCTTATATACCTTTCAAGTACTTAGATACAAGTAGGTATATAGTACCTACTAGTTAGTATATGATAGTATATGATATAATTAGTATATTAGATGTGTGATATATATTAAACAGTTCATTAAAAAAATAAGGAAAAGTTTAGATTTAAAGAAACAGAAAAAATAACTTCATAAAATAGTTACATAAAGCCTTATTTGTCATGTTCTTTATTATCTCAAATATTTGAACGCTACACAACTTATGCTCGAGAACTTTTTAGAAATTCTTTGCCACGAAGTGTAAAATATACCTACTGAACAAACTCTCAAAAACTTAGCGAGTTTTGCAAAACAACAACAGCCGACAGAAACAGCTGAGAATAAGATGTAGTTGTTAGCTATAATTTTATTTTAAATTTTAAAGTTGTCATTAAATAAGATCTCTTGTTCAATAAGAACCTAATGTTATCAGAATTTTTGAGCTCATCTAATTAACTTAACAAAAAATGCAAATAAATCCGCGACAAAATCCGAAAAGATAGTTTTATTTAAAATGTCAAACATTCGCGTAAATCTAAGAAAGCTAGGTAGTAATCAGAAAACGATCCCGCAATGTTCCGCAAGCTCTTCCGGACTGCGATTACATAATATTCGATTGAGTCTTATGCAATAACAAAGTAAATTAAAGAAAAATGACAAAATATCACAAGCAAAATCAATAGTAGTATAATCTTACTTTTATTTTTCACCCTCGCTTCGCTCGAGTCGCCTCTAGACTAACAAAAACAATCCCACGGGAACCGTAAATTTTTCCGGAATAAAAAGTAGCCTATATGCTATTCCAGACTATAATCTATCTCTGTGCCAAATTCCATCCAGATCCATTCAGCCGTTCTGGCGTGATTGAGTAACAAACATCCATATTCACAAACTTTCACATTTATAATATTAGTATAGATGTGCCTACCTCTTTTTATTTCTAAAAATATGTCAATAGTTGATTCTTAAACTTTTCTTACTTTAAAGACGATGAAAAAAATGCCTAAAAGTTTACATACAAACTTTCCACTCATAGGCTACTTTTTATCCCGAAAAAATGTATGGTTCCCGTGATATAGATTTGTTTTTTTTCCGCTAGTAATAAAAAAATTATGCGGGTATTTCCGCGGGCAAACGCTAGCTTTTAATTACCTGAGGTGCATTGCTTCGATTTCGTTGGACGAGAAAGTGTTTTATTTTATTCAATAAGTTGATATCTTAAGTTATATATGTATACGTATAGTTGGTCACATAAAAAGAAATAAGTACATACTTACATAGCCTCCCCCTACACCGTTCATGGATCGAAACTCTGATCTGCACCGGAAAATACATCGCACGTAGCGTTAAAAGACTACGAAGTACAAACACACAACTTTGTTATCTTTCCACGATTTAGAAGTCGATTTTATCCAACTTGTAACTATCGTATTTGAAACTTTGGAGATAAAATCCAGATGACGATAATTTTGAGGAATCGACCTGATCTAACGATGGTCCAGACTACAGAATTCCTGAAATGATAGTAATAAAACCTAAAATTTGATTTATTTTCACTTGTTCCACACGTTGTTTTGGTGACCTATTTTAGGTTTTAGTTTAGACCAATTTTGCTCGGAAAGCCAAGTGAAGCAGGCGTTCTTTATTCATTAAAATAAAATTAATTCGAGGATCTATAACTTATATTTTTTCGACTACTTTGTATTATATTTCTTTACATTCCAATTGTCAATTCAAATTAGAATAACCAAGAAAAGTCAGGTATATATGCAGTATAGGTGTTAGGTACAGGTACGGCTCTCTTATTCGAGCGTGGTCAATACTCTCTATGTGTCTGGTATAAAATAAGTAATAAATAATCGCATAAACAAAATTTATTGTGTGTTTAAAATTTATTTCAAAATATATTGTGTTTGGAAATGGGCAGGAAGATGATGATGAATCGCATGAATACAAAAGAAACTCAATTCAGATTAATACAGGATTTATTAAAGGTGTTACAATAGGATATACATACAGTTGTAATATATATAAACTAAATATTCGATTTAAAAGCAAACTGGTCGTCTCGTCGCTTTGCTAAGTTATTCAAAGACACTCCTCATGTTTAATAAGATGGCTGTTGCAAAATATTGCAGAGACATGCATAAATTACATTCTGTAGGAGATGGCAACTGGCAAGTAACTTTTTTTTATTATTTTTTTTATACCAAAGACGATAGCGTGTTTTAACGTGTTTAATTTTTGTGAGCGTGTTAAATTTTTTTATGGAAAAATCTTATGCAATTAAAAAAGCTAAAGCTAATCTAACATCAAATTCAGTCAAATTTTAATTTTATTATGAATAAATATTTTTTAGTTACATAGAAATAATATCACATATAGGTACAAAGAAATTCTAAATAAATCTACTCACATTTTCATTAAAATACATACTCAAGAAACTTAAGTAATTTTTGAATTCAATAAACAGATTTGAATAAAAATTAAAAAGTTATATAAGAATTTGTAAAATAAAATAAATATTTTTTTATTAAAATACGCCCAATTATGTTGCCATCATGAGCAGCAATACAATTTTTTCTTTATACATTGATATAAACAAACATAACCTGCATAAAAAAATCAATTTGAATCTGTGAAATACTAAAAATATTACACTGGTAAATGTTGCTAACAGAAAATTATAAAAAAATATTTTTTTAAAGATAACATTATTTATATTTGTTTGTAGCATAGCAACACTTAAATTTTATATTCTTTACATAATGGTATATAATATTTATAGTATAAGCAATAATGAGAAATTAATTTACATAATATGTCATGGCACATATATATTTTTTAACTCTACCCTTATTAAACTACAAATTACGAATATCTACAAATGAGTGTTAAAAGTACTTCCAGTAGGTATAATTTTTTTTATTGCTTCCTTAAAAATATGGCATGCCTTGTTGGTCATATATTTTCACTTCATCCTTCTTTAAATTTAATTCAGGCCTGTTAAAGAATAAAGTATACAGTAAATAAAATTTAAAAACTTAATAAGGATTACTTACAGATATTCAGACTCAACATCATTTTATTTATGTATAAAACGTAGACGAAATATCTTATACAGATTTTTAAGACGATGTAAATTCTAAACGATCGATATAGGTTTTCATATTTATAAAGTATGTACTAGCAGAACCCGCGGCTTCGTTCGCGCTAAAACTACAAAAGAAACTTTTAAAAAGTAGAATTCATACAAACTTTCATGGCCTATTTTACCCCCTTATGGGATGAATTTGGAAAAATGCTAGAACACGTATTAATTTAATTTTATTGAACAGCATTAATACCAAGTTTCAAGTAATTCTGATCATAAATACTTTTTTTTGATCGTATTATAACGTGATTTCCCGTGGGAATGATATAAACTCCCGCGGTAAGAAGTAGCCTATGATACTCTCCAGCCTTCAACTATCTCCACACAAAAAATCACGCCAATCCGTCACTCCGTTTTGACGTGAAAGAAGGACAAACAAACCAACACACTTTCACATTTATAATATTAGTATGGATACCTAAGAATTTTTAATAATATAAAGTGGGAAGCTATAACTTATATAAGCTATAAGCCAAATTACGTAATCTTCGGTAAAAATATTCTACATTTAGGTTTTCCTAAAAATGAAAAATTACAACTTTATACTTACAAAGTCAACTGTACAGTCTGTTGCGGAGCTGGAATAAAAAGCTTGCATTAATAAAAATAGTAAAATATCCGGCGTAAAAGTTCTCAACTTGCGCTTGAGCTTTTACTGCAAAGGCGGTTTTATGAAATTTTAAACGAGTCGATGGACAAAACTTTCTTAATAATATTAAGATGAGATAAAATTAAAATCTGTCTGTAATTTTTAAATAGTTAGGTCATATCTAGCTATTTTCCTATTTGCACGATACCAAAACATATAATAATAATAAACAATGTCTGTTTGTAACTCTTCAATTTGCCTTCGATTAGATCTCTTAAACTGATAACTTTAAGATTAAGGCAGAGGCCGCCCTACGGTTTTTTCCAGCGAGCGGTTAGCCGCCATAACCGCAAAACCGCTCGAGAAGCACACACTACGATTAAAAACCGCGAAATTTGCCCGCAATTTACAGTTGAAGATGGATTTCAAAAAATCTGTATGTATTGGTCTGCAGAGTACTGACCAAAAAACGGCGCGTGGTTAACGCGGTAGTGCGTGCGCGCCAACTAATTTCTATGGGATACAAATTTAGCGCGGTTTTTACCCGCGAACCATTTTGTAACAATTCGCGGTTTTATAATCAGTCGCGAAAAAAAACCGCAAGTGAGGCCGCTTATTTAGTTTACTTGACTCACAAAATCACACGATTAAAAACCGCGGCGGTTTAGCCGTAATGCGACCTAGCACTTAGGGCAATTCCTAATTATATTATAATTATTCCTAATTTCCCTGATGAGAGGATGAGAATATACATACATATAGACTACTTTTGATCCCGAAAAAGAAAAAGGTTTCCACAGAATATAGAAAAATTACGTTTCGAACTTTGAAATGCCTTTGAATAAGGGGTAGGAAATTCAAGTTTTAGTCACGTTTGGCGTTACCTTCTAAGCAAGCGTTTGCAACTCAATATACGTACATACATATTACACAGATTTGGCTATTATTTTGAACGAGGAATTAAAGCATAATATATTCATGTCTTTTTTGAATTTGAAATGTTGAATCATAAATATCAACTATCACGACGTACATCTTATTCTATATATCACATCCAAAAATGATAGCCGACCCGATCAGAATTTTAGATTTAAACATTCTGGTAACCGTACATAATCGGCAAGTTCCGAACTCTTGATAATTTATTTTTAGATATTATATGTATGTACTAAATATAATAAGGCAATATTTCAAAACTACACACTTATGCTAGGCCACACCAAAGCTAAAGCTTACCACATTACGTCATATTATTTAAAGTGTAACAATTAAGCAATTTTCAAAGCATTAAGCCATAGTGTGGCCGTAGCTTTACAAACTAAGATTACACTCACCAATAACCGGCTGCTGGATGATTCCAGTGACATCGGACACATACATGGGATGTGTTGTTTGTATGAAATCCTTGGTCTGGTCGACGAAAGTTTGCTGTTGGGTAACCGTGATCTGTTGTTGCCTCCATTTCTCCATTGCCTCAGCTTCTTGCATCTTCTGTAACCTCTCAACCCGCTTGTAAGTCGGCTCGCCACCTATGTAGTCTCGCTTTACTCTGTTATGGTTACGGATTTCGTGCTTACGAAGATCCGATCTGTGAAATAGAATTAGGTATAGCCTAAGCAATGGAACTGCAGATTATTTTTCAAATATGTATGTTCATGTAATGTTTAAAAAACTAACCCTAACTCTTACAGTATTATTTTCTTGTTCTCAAACATTTAAGAAAACGTAGTAATTTTAATGGTTAAAGAAAAATAGATATTTTACATTATAAATAGGTGCATAATGTTATTAACAGTAAACGTATATAAATATATCTTATAAAACAAACTATGAAAAATAAGATTATTTACACTAAGATTTGTGGTAAAAGTGATGAAGGTTAATCTATCTATACTTATTATAAAAATAAGTCCCCCGGCCGCGTCTTTCTGTCCTCCTGTCTGTCCTCCTGTCTGTCCTCCTGTCTGTCTGAACGCGATAAACTCGAAAACTACTGAACGGATTTTTATACGGTTTTCAACAATAGAAAGAGTAATTCTTGAGGAAGGTTTAGGTATATAATTTATTATGCTTTTATGTAAATTAGCTGAAATACGGCGACAAATGTTGAAGAGGTCGCAAAAAATCTCGCCAAATGGGAACTTTCCACGCGAACGCCGCGTAAACTAGCAAAGATACAGTTAAGTAATGTACTAGAGAATTCAAAATCTATAAAAATGCTACAAAAAAGTCCGCGATAGCATATCTCTATCTCTTACGGTTGACTTACAATAACCACTTTTATGTTAACATTTTTAATTAAAAACATTACGTTATTTTCAAAGTTATTTTCTTTAGTTCGGTATTAATCCTTATCCAAATGAATATTTTAGTTAGCTTAGTCATTTAATGCAGATTAAAATTGCTCTTTACACTAAATCAATCAGATGAATAGTTTTTGAGATATCGTTGTTAGAAGTAATTAGTAGCGAAACATTTTTAATGCTTGGCGAGCATTGAGATGCCTACGGCGAGTCCATCCCCTCTGCCCCGCATCGCTCGACCGCCTGCTCAAGCTATATAAACCGGGCGATGTAGCGCGCGATCCTAGGATACTTTTTACCGCGGGAAAATATCTTATTTCTGAGGAAAAATACAAAAACTGCAATGTAAGAGTATACTAATATGTAACACCTAAGAATTTAGTTTTTGGTCATCTGAACGCGGGCGGAGCCGCGGGCAATGCTAGTTTACTATAAATAAATATAAATATGTTGGGACATTAACACAGCACCATCTAGTTTCATGGTAAGGTATGAGGCTTGTATAATAGCTACCAGACAATTGATACACTACACATATATAACTTTAAATACATACATATTATAAATATAAACACCCATGACTGGAATACAGACATTCGTGCTCATCACACAAATGAATGCCCCCAGCGGGACTGGAACCCGCGACCGCTGGCACAGGAAGTAGGATCCCTACAAACTGAGCCAAACGTGTCGTCAAGGACTATATTATCAAAATAAATTCCTTAATCGTTCATACAAACATTTCAATTGTTTATTACACAAAACTTTGTAATATTATAATTATAATAAATAAGCATAAATAATTTAAGGTCATCATACTTGTAACAAAAGTCCCGTCCACAGTACGTGCATCTATGTTTTATATTCATATGCTTGGCGTCGTGATGCTCCCACAGGGCAGTACCCGTGCGGAAGGCCTTCTCACAAAGTACGCACTGTAAAAACACATACATATAGTATACATCAGTAGTAGTCGTGGATCGAGGAATATACTAAAGTACAATAAGCCAACATATTCATACTTTAAATTAACACTTTACAACACAAGTTACAAGCTACGATGGACCTATTAACGGCTAACATACATTATCGTGATAATCTTTAAAGTCTAATAACATATGGATCGTGCAGTTGATGGTGCTAATCATTGCCAACATGTTTACCACTTGTCTTATGGTATAGAAAACCATCGTGAGGATGTTTAGGTATAAAGCGAGTTTTCGAAAGACATGTGAATTCCACTAACCCGCAGTTGGCCAGCGTGGTGGATTATAGCCTGATCCCCTCATATTAGGAGGTCCGTATCCAGCAGTGGGCCGTTAAAAGAGGCCGAATATATACAATACATGGATGATAATAACATTGATTTATTTTTTTGTAACATATTTGTCACACTTTTGTATATGGAAAGTGGCATGAAAAACTACTAAAACTCGTATACCTCCTAAATTCTTCCTCCTTAATTATTCAATTATATAAATATATATAGATTTATTAAGTGCGAATCGAACTAACGGGAACGTAGCAAAAAGTGACGTAAATTAAAATAAACTGTTTTACGCCTGTTGTAAATGCTGCTTGTAATCCTGTTTTATTTGAGATTTTAGATTTCAATTTGAATATTCTTTTAAAATATACATTATGAACACCAAATTCAGTCTTAATATTATAACAGGAAACTATCATGTATTTTATTATAAGAAAGTATTATGTAACATTTAGCAGAGATGCTTACCTCTGCTCCAAAAAAAAAACACAAAAAAAAACATTGATATACAATTTTTGTATATGTATTAATGCAAAAAGAAAAAAAGCTATTATTATATATATACTTCCAAAAAAACATATATACATTTAAAAAAATTAATGTATTTAAAATTATAGCAAGATACATTTTAAGGTAAGACGTCTAGTATGGAACCTTCGCCACTAATATGTATATACCTTAAACTGTTTCTCCTGGTGGGTGAGCTTGTGCTTGTTGAGGTTGGAGGGGTGCACGAACGTGGCGGGGCACTCTGCGCACTTGTACGGCTTCTCGCCCGTGTGCGTGCGCATGTGCATCACTAGGTAGTACTTGTACTTGCACTTGTACGGGCACAGGTCACAGAAGAAGTTGAACGTGTTCGTGTGGACTAGCCTTTAGAAATGATCGCTAATATGATATTTTTTTACATTTTAAATAAAACTATTTTTTTGGCGACTGTATTTTGAATTTTAGTTCCCGACGTTTCAAATGCTTTACAGCAATCATGGTCACGGTAGAGATTATTTTTTTACAATTTTTTTTTAATTTAATTCAATTTACTTGTTTATGGTTTCAAAGCATGCCAGTTGAGCACAGATTACTTCACCAATGTCATGTAAAAAGGAGAAGACACAAAGAAGATTGTTTACTTTTTTTTACTATAGTGATACATGATTGATGTTATAGAGTAGGCAATTTAATTTTTATCTACATTTATAAATATTTAAAAAGCAATAATCCTTATTTTTTGTTTATTAATCGGTTGGGTGTCAAAAGTTACTGAATAAGTATATTTATAAGTCAAAGTTATATTTTGTGAAAATACCATAAGTATAAAATTTTATTAAATTATATTTTAACTTACATGTGATTTTTGAGTCTTGCTATGTTAGGGAACTCCTTTCCACATGTGGGACATTTATGCACCACACTTTGCTCATGGTTATGTCGCATATGCTGTGAGATACTCCGTACAAGTTGCCCGCATATGTCGCATGCACGACGCATACACTGCCTTTCCCGTCTGTGGGCACTTAGCTTTTCCTATACAGAAATATAGAAGATATTTATGTTAAAATACATTGAATTACATATAAGGTTTTTTCTTTTTATAGTTTGCAAAAAGTAAAAGATGAAATTGAATCTTAATCTAATTTAACATACATTATTCTATGTGACACTTGTTTGCTTTGTTTTGATGGCCTTACCTTAGTTGGAAATGTTAAATCACATGGTGAACAATTGAACTCTTTTGCTTTCATATCCTTTTTCTCCATCAATCTTTCTTTCTTTCTCCTTTCTCGGTCAGCCTTTTGTTCTTCTTCCATTCTTTTTAGTTTCATTTGATGCAATATTAATTGAAAATCATGTTTTGAATATGGATATGAGTGAAGTAATGGATCACCTATAAAAATCTTGTATTATATACAATTCAATATAAATATTAATAACAAAAATGTATCAGCTTTTATTCTAGTAACGAATTCATGTAATAATATCAATTTTAGGAAAATAATTATAAGTATGTATTAGAAATGTATTTTTTATTAGACTACTTTACTTGCCCATGGGATTCAATATTTTTCTAAATTTTCTATCTGCAGTTTCACAAGTTCTCTTAAATGTCATAGCAACATTCAATAATTGTAGGCATTCATTACAAATATATTTAGGCAGTGAATCATCTGCACTTATCTGTAAAATGGATAAAACAATTATTTGTAAATATGAATAAAAACTCGCTTAAAATATGACTTACAATATAAATTAATGAATGAAAACTATGAATTTTTAAGGATTATTAATATATGTATAAATTTCTATAGTTTTATGATACTGGATAAATATATTAATTTCATAGACAACTTACAGTTATATTAGTGACACTTCGTAAAGCTCCCATGATATCGCAATCATTAATTTTGCTATACAAAGGTATGCTACCATTTTTCCCACATACTCTGCAGATCATTTCTTTTGATAATTTTAAACCTATTTTACTGAAAAATATTAAGAGTATAATCATTAAATAATCATTTAACATTGATAACAATAACATTTCTGAGACATATCAGCAATTGTACCTGTCCATAACAAGTTTCTCCCAGTGATCATTACTTGTATCACCTTCAATAGAACTTGTACTTGGATAAGTTATTTTGTTAAGTTTTGACATCATGGCTTTAGTTAGATAGACCGTCATGATAAATAAAACTCTTGGGAACCGTATCTCTGTATATTAATTTTAAAGAACTAGCGTCGTCGTAATTATATAGCAAATATTTTTTTTCCAGTACATAAGATCGTACCACTAGTTCTTACAACACATCAACATACAGCATTTTGAAAGAAAGTAAAACAAATTAACAGCAAACACACGAAATATCAATCATATAATTTTGTAAAAACTCTGAAAATGCTCAGAACTCAATTTTAAATACAGCATAATATTACGCTGTAAACACTACACGACATTCAACAATGAACAAGAGCTATAATTAATTATTTATTAGTTTATTGAATACCTAAGTTTTTGTTTGTTGATTTGTTACATTTTATTTTTTTAGCTTGCGATCACAATTCACATGACATATGTCAAAATTTACCACAGAAAAAAACTTCGGAAAATATTTCTTTATAAATAACAGTTCCATTCTAAGAAATCTCTAAGTAGGTTATTACTACTCGTAAGTAGTAGCTAGTATTTCTCTATAGTTCGTGGAAGCGACTTATCGCGAATATTTGACATCTATATCTATGTATATACATATAATAAAATTGTAACTAAGCCTAATCTGTACATTAAATATTTTTTGGAAAATCTTTTTGAAATACACATTATTATCAATACATAGGTCGGCCTATCGTAGCATCTCTATATAGTTTGTGGGTCGGCCTCTGTATTATAGATATAGATTCAGATCTATAGTTTTTAAAATTTTGTCTGTCTGTTTGTGACCGCATCACGGAAACACCACTGGTTGGTATGATGATAGCTTGTTATCCGGATCTACATATAGGATACTTTTTACTACGAGAAACTATCCCATTTCTGAGAAATATATACTAAACGTTAAAGGGACGAACCCGAGCGGAGTGAGGATGAGTCGCTAGTTTTAAATAAAACTATCTTTGAGGATTTTTTCGTGGTTTTATTTAGATTTTTGGTTGCTGACGTTTCGAATGCTTTACAGCAATCATGGTCACGTAAGAAACCAGCGCTGGATTTACACTAGGGGCAGTCGGAGCTTGCGGAGTCGGCAAATTTCAAAGGGCGGCAAAATTCGAAGGATACATAAAAAAAAGCAGTTATGAGGACTGCCGACAGAAGTGAAAACTTAAAACTGTAAACAAACAGAAACAGTTGATATATACATATATAAATTAAAATTTGTGAATTAAAACTGTTTACATTTATCTGGTTTTGACATCCATCGGCACTCTGCGTGTTAGCGTGAACACGTCACGTGACCACGTCGATGACGACTTACATTAATTTACTTCCCATCCAAAGCTGCCTAACAACTAAAATAACTGTTTTTTTCTAAGGAAAAATTAGTACACCTTAAAACGTACATTAAATCATGAAGCAATGGCGATTAATGGAAATAAAATTTTTAATCGTGATGATGAATATAAGCTGTCATCTGCATAAAATCTGGGGATAGGAAAATTCCCGTCCAACCGTTGCCCGTCCAACACGCCCGTGAACTATATTAGTGTTGTGTGTAGTGGCTATAATAGCCAACATAGTACAATAATTGTAAATGTGAAGATCAAATGAGGGTATCTGCAAAAAACACCTCCAATTGAAGCCACGATACCGTACACCCAGCTTGACTACTGCCGGTACAACCCAGTCGTAACGTCGGGATTGCATAATATTTTATTCCTTCGTCAACTTGTTTTCATCTTATTAATTAGCTTATGTACAGTCGAGTTTTATATTTTTATAATATATTTTTATAGATAAATAGCAACTCTTTAGTTTCCAAGATTTATATTATATTTTTTACAAAACCTTTTCAAGGCAAGAGGAATAAAAATAATATTTATATTTATAAAATATAAATATATGGCACATTCAAAATAATAATAGAAAAATTTGCACATATAGAAATAGCCTTAATCTCAACTGTCAAGACAGTGTAGTCAACTTAGGGGATTGTAAGGGAAAAAAATTGTAAGGGCTTTTTTTGGCTTTTTATTTCTTTAATAGCATGACTTAAATATAAAATATAACTTTATCGAGACTTTTAATTTGTAAATAAAAGTACTTTTTTAAAATAATTAACTTTATAAATATGTTATCTATAATTATTAAATTTATTATAAACAACGAAGCACATCCCTAACTTGGACATTTGTAAATGATCGAACTTTTTAATGAGTTAACTATTTTAATTTTTGAACTATTTTATAATAAATATGACATCTAGTGGTGAACCGCATAATGCCATAACTGGTAACATTTCTGAGTTTGTGCTGGTAGCCATCTTAGGGGCTTTCCCCCCAAATTTAGGGGTAAAAAATGGGTCTTTTTTTTAGGGGTTTATAAAGTTTTAGTTAGACTTAGAAAAATTATATGCCTTTTTTATTATTTTCTTAATTATCTACAGAATTCATTATCATTTTTATATGGTTACATGTAATTATTATAAAAATAACCATAAATAAATTTATTACGATACTTGTAGTCATTTAAAATAAAATAAAAATATTTTAAAATAAAAAAACAATATTAAACAAGAACCTATATTTTTCAAATTGTCACAGGAGTTTTAGGGGTTTTTTAAATTACTTTTAGAGAGATAAAATTTCAAGTTGCCAACACTTGAACATTTTCAACATTTTCATTCTGCCAACATTTTCTCAAGGCCAAATGTCAAAAGTCTCAAAAGTCAAAACGGATAAAAACAGAGTAGTCAGTAGTTTGACTTGTATTTTGTTTTCCAGAAACAATTTATATATTTTTATATTGCGAAAATAACACACTAGTATATTAGGTTTAAATTTTACACATATAATGACATCTTTATTATTACTTAAATCAATGTTATTTGCAAGTGTTTTACAGAAAAACAAAAAGAAAAAGAAAGTTAAAACTAAGAAAATGTAAGAATATTACACATTGCTATGTTAACTTTTAATTCTAAAAATATCAATGATAATATTCTTCATACTCTATAATAAATTGGAACCTAAATATGTATATCAATAGAGAAACTAAAGCAATACAAATTAAATATTTCTATGCTTAATTTTTTATTTGTAGAGTTCCAATAACAACAATTGATTTAAAAATGTGCAGAATTTGCAATGAAGAAAAAGGTGAAATCCCAATATTCGATAATTTTACTCATCCACATATACCAGAAGAGATTAAACATTTTTCAGGAGTATCTGTAAGTCTACATGTTTGAATTATTTATTATTAAATAAAGTTTATAAGTTAATTTGTTTTCCATAGAGTTTATTTTGTTTATGTTTTTCAGATGAATAGAGCAGATGATTTGCCTAAACTTATGTGTCAAAACTGTTTAGACCTTTTGAATGGATGTATTGTTTTTAGGGATATGTGCCAAACAAATAACAAACTGATGATAGAACTTACTATAAAAAAAGGTACAGGATAATTAGAATATAAAAATTAGTTATTATTGTTATTATTTAATTCGTATTCTAGTGTCTTACTTTCTATCAATATATTTTTAGTAAAGTGGTGAAACATTCTTAAATAATTATTTCAGAAGCAGAAATTAATAATGAAGAAGAAAATGCTCATTACAGTGATGACTCATTTAACATTCCATCCCCAACTTTTTCGGAAGATAATTCAGAGATATGGGGATGCACAACATGTAACAAAGAATTTTTTGATATGGTACTAATTCATTATATTATATAGAACATATTATTAAAGTGTTAACAATAATTAGAAACTATTTTTTTTTTACATAACTTAAAATACTATAATCACAGGTGACAAAACAAGCCCAAGACAAAAATATTGGGTAGCTCTAATTTAGGCTATATTCTATGAGACTTTTTTTTATAAATATCTATAGCAAATTAATACATTAAATTCATACACCTATTTAACATTAATATGAGATAATTTTATTTGTTCTTGATGAGACTCCTTGCTAATAATGTATCTATCATGAACATAATAAAAACCATACATATAAATAGTATCTTGAAAAAATTGTTTTAATGAAATTATAAAATAATAAATTATAGAAGCTGCTGCAGTTTAATAATTTAACATTTTATTTTTTATATTTAGGGGACATATAATATGCATTTACCAGAATGCAATAGACAAATAACTGATGTGCCTAAGCCTCAAGATAAGAAAAGCAAAAAGAATTTTTTATGTGATATTTGTGGAAAAACCACCAATTCCAATGCCAATCTTTTAATTCATATGTATGTATAACAAATACCTAACTAAAAGTGCCTTATTTTGAGTGATAATAAATGAATAATTTTATAAGTTGTATGTACAGAGGCAGTTAGATATTTTATTATTCCATGCGTTTATGTTCAAACCCAAAATATATTACCACTGAAAATATAGTTTTTAAACATGTTTACTTTTCATTTTATACATTACTCGAGTTTTCCTGTGGCTCCGTATGCGTAGTTCAATTATTATGTATATCTTTAATAATTATGACCTATGTATTACTCTGATGTATAAACTACATTATTGTAAAGTTTAATTAAAATCCATTCAGTAGTTTTTGCGTGAACAAGTAACAAACCTCCATCCATCCATCCTCACAAACTTTCGCATTTATACTACTAGCGACTTACCCTCGCTACGGGTTCGTCCCTAAACAAAAACAATTGTCCCACGGGAACCGTACATTTTTTCGGGATAACGTAACATATGTGCTATTCCAGACTATATCTACCTCTGTGCCAAATTTCATCTAAATCCGTTCAGCCATTCTGGCGTGAAAGATTACAAAACATCCATCCTGACAAACTATTACATTTATAATATTAGTAGGATTAGTATGATGTGAATGTTTTAAAATTATTATTTTCGTATGTTGTTTTCCAGGGGTATACACGAAAATGTATTTCCATTTAAATGTGAAGAGTGCCCATACCAAGGGAGAACAATGGATCTGTTGAAAGTGCACAAGAGAACACATATGGCCGACAAGCCTTTCAAGTGCACTCAGTGTCCAAAGTCAACAACGACATCTAGTAATTTAGCAAAACATATGAGGCATGTACATAGTACTACTAGACCCTATAAGGTGAGCATCAGTATTGTTTGATGTAATCACTTTTTACCTGATTCAAAATAAAGATATACATGCACTATTTTTAAAGTCTTATAAAAGTATAGCGAGCTTACCAATCATGGCTTATTAATAAAATACTTAGGTGAAAATTAGAATCCTATCATAAACAAAACATGAATGAAAACCAAGCTCAACAAAAAAGAATTTGCGATGTAAGTACTCAGATGACGGCTTCATTAATAAAAAGTGAGATCTAACTGATGCCAAGTTATTTTGAAGTTTCTTAGAAAAATTATATTCTTTTCTACTCAGTAGTGTGACTTGGCAAATTTTTACCACCAACTTCATCACAAAGCTGTAGTTAAACAAGTATTTAAGTAAATGTGACGTAATTACTATATGTTATTAAATTTGTAAAAAAAATTAGATAAATATTCAAGTTATTAAGTCCAGGTCCGAGTCAACACGGATATAGATACCACGTTCACAAACACGTTTTCGTTTATTTAGAGTAAAATTTTTCAATAATAAAAAATACCAAATTATCGCCCTTTTGTATTTGCGAACTTGGCTGAAACACTGCCGTGTACCTTCCTATTAGGGAAATCTAATTTTTATAATCGGCTTGGCAGTTTCGAAGATTACCTCCCAAAGTATAAGTGCACTTTACATCTATATAATATTAGCATTTACTTAACTAAGTAATCGTCTTTTCAAGTGTTTAGCTTTCAAAATAAATTTTACACAGAACACTATTTCTCTTTAGGAGGAGATGAAAATAATTAAGATTAAAAATTTCATGACACTTAACGTTGTTTTGATTTGCTTTTTTTAGGTATTTTTTTTCCTTAAAGTACCCATATGTCTTCAAGCACAATGGAATATCACTTAAAATGAGGTATTTTTACTTTTCAGTGTACTTATTGTGATAAGGCTTTTTCATACCAACACGACATGAAAAGGCATATACGAGACATACATCTTAGACAAGGCACGGTGGAATGCGATGTGTGTTTCAAAAAATTTAATACTAAGTAAGATTTTTATTGATTAGCACATTACATAAATAATATGAATTTTAGATTTAATCGTTAATAATATGTTAGCTACATTATTTTGATACATACGATTCGTTTTTTTTTATTATTTACATAGACTACAATCTTTCAGGAAAATATTACAAGGACATCGATGGAAAATCCATAAAATCAAAGGGGAGAGACATGGACGCCTACCGTCGTATTTACAATGTCAACAAGAGGAACAGACTGATAATAAATCTAATGAATGCGAGTCAATATACCAATAATTTATATAATCAATAAAAATATTTATAACGTAACTGCTCTATTATTAACACTTCATAGTAATTTTAAATCAAGTCATCAAGTGTGACACTATGTTTACAATTATATGTCAGTGGACCTTTATCTCGGCATTTATAAGAACGTTGACACATATTTTTATTCTTATAAATTCTTCATTATGAATCCTTTTCTAGCAGCAAGACACTTGCTAGTTAGAACTGGTGGAGTTGAGTCGAAATGAAAAATATAGCCTTATTATTGTTACTTACAAGAACATGTATGTCGTTCGATATACCAAAGACTTCGTGTAATTCAGACCTAACTATCGATAAGAATCATTATAACAAGACTAAAATTTATGACGTTGGTTTTGCGTATCCAACTGACGCTCATTATGATACCTATGGAAATCTTTTCTTCGTTTTGTTCGGTCGTAACTTTTTCGGATATCATTTCGACGTAAAAGTAATTAAAAATAATGCAACGGAACCTGAAGATGTACCCGGTGAGTAACAACATTGATTTACTAATATCATTTGTTTATGTCAAACTTTACATTACGTTTTTAAGTTTAGTATAGATTTCTCAAAGATGAGATATTTTCCCGCAATAAAAAGTATCCTATATGTTGAACCGGATAACCAGCTATCATCATACCAAATTTTATTAAAAACTGTCCAGTGGTTTTCTCATGATGCGGTCAGAGACAAACAAAAAATCGAAAAACTATAGATTCGGCCTCTGTATCAATATTAAGACTTTCAATAAGATTTTCCAAAAAATATTCAATGTACAGATTCGACTCAGAATTTTATTATATATATATAGATTATTTGAATTACTGCTTCACACTAACGTTAGTGGAAAGTATAGTAATTCGAATTTCGAACGAAAATAATATGTACCTGTATTAAATTAAACGTTTCATATTTAAACATATTATTAAAATTAAAAATACAGTGTGTTTGTACCTTAATAATTTTAGCCCATCTACTCGTATGTATACTATACCTACTTATAACAAATGGTGAAAAGTTCATGTTTGTATATTGAATATCTCTCCTGACTCTACAGAACTCATCTAACTACATCGATTTTTATGTTAATAGGCATGATAGTTACTTAACCGTGAAGTCATTATTTAGTGTAACTTTTCATCTTGGATATTGAAATGGTCCCAGAGAAGAAAATAGTTTTTGAAAAAAACCTGCATCGATTTTGATATAATAAAGCAAAGTTGTTACTTAATGTCCAAGCTATTATTCACTTTGGTCGTAGCGTAACTTTGGTCCCGAATAAGGATTCTTCCAGAAAAGAAGAAACTAACAACTGCATTAATTTTGATATGCATTGCCCTTTGGAGTAGGTACTTTAATAAATAATCTATACATATAATAAAATTCTAACTAAGTCATATCTGTACATTAAATATGTTTTGGGAAATCTAATTGAAATAGACATTATTATCGATACACAGTCCGAATCTATAGTTTTTAGAATTTATGTCTGTCTGTCTGTTACCGCATCACGAGAAAACCACTGGACAGATTTTGATGAAATTTGGTACGATGATAGCTGGTTATCCGGGTCAACATATAGGCTACTTTTTACCGCGGGAAAATATCACATTTCTGAGAAAAAATACAAAAACACAAGAACTGCATTGTAAGAGTATACTAATATGTAAAACCTAAGAATTAGGTTTTTGGTCATCTGAACGCGGGCGGAGCCGCGGGCAATAAAAGTGCTTAGTCACCATGTCAATATTAATATTGATGTCTCGCCGTAGATGCATTTATATGACACTAAGCATTGCCCGCGCTCCGCCCGCGTTCAGATGACCAAAAACCAAATTCTTAGGTTTTACATATAGTATACTCTTACGTTGCAGTTTTTGTATTTTTTGTCAGAAATGATACATTTTCCCGCGGTATAAAGTATCCTATATGTTGACCCGGATAACCAGCTATCACCATACCTAATTTCATCAAAATCCCTGCAGTGGTTTTTCAGTGATGCGGTAACAGACAGACAGACAAACTGACAAAAATTCTAAAAACTAGATTCGGCCTCTGTATCGATAACAACGACTATTTCAATAAGATTTTCCAACAAATATTTAATGTACAGATTTGATTCGGCAAGAATTTTTTAAAAGTATTATCGCAATCGGGGGAAAATAATCACACGTCCGTGGAGGATTTTTCATAATCCGTATTCGTTACTATCGAGTTTACTTTGGTGGTAGGCTAGATACTAACAAGTAACTAGCCTACCACTAAGTTATTATATTATACCTACTTACAATAAGTGCCGCGTATAAGGCGTGGGATAATTAGAGGTTTTTTTTCTGAATAGATGTAACATACTATTGTTATTTATGTATAATAGTAGGTATGTTTAATGGTTTTACAATAATTTTTATTTCATTATAAGGTTTGCCGGAGGGTAAAAGTTACTCAATTGCCGTGGATAAAAAGGCTGCAAAAGTTTACTTTGGAACAAATAAAGGCATTTTCCTTTACAATTACGAATCCAAAAATGCCACATTAGTCTCTAAGCCAGATTTGAAATTAAATAATTTATATCTGGACAAAGATGGAAATAAATACATCACAGACAGTTCTGATGGTAATGAAGAGCTGTATCTTTTGACTGGCGATAAGAGAATTCGTTTTAGAAGTTTAGATGCTCTTAGCGAAATGGCTATAGATGAGAATAATAATTTTTATTATATTAAAGAGAGCAAACTGTATGTTTTAAAATCAAATATATCAAGATCTATGTTAATTGGTAACGTGACTTATGATGGCATAGCACAAATATCTTTTTACGAAGAAACTGTTTTTGTCGCAAGCAAACACGTATCATATATTCATGAAAACGATACTGGACCATTGAAGTTAGTAAAAAATATATCTGAAATAATTACTGCCATATCTTTTGACCATTCTGGTAATTTTGTATTAGGGAGTTATGGAAAAATATCAAAATACGAAACACAAGACAACGAATGTTATCAGAGAAAAAATTAAATCTGAAAATGTATAAATTTGAATGAATTCATTCAATTCTGTGCCATGCTGTTTATTTGTAAGTAGGTAATCACTACATTTAGTTCTTAGTTTTTAGTTGTTTTTTTATATTTGTGTATTATTGTAAGTGATTGTAAATAAACCTAATAAATAAATAAAAAATAAATGAATAAAAGATTGTTTGGAAATACTCCTTTTAATAGTACAAAATAAATTACCTATCTTAATATTATAGCTCAAAACTCACCATACCTAAGTTCTACAACAACTCGTAATTCAAGCTAATATATTCGTATTTTAGTGATGAAAACTATAGTATAATACGACAAGGTGGTAAAAGCGTCAAACAATAATTATATTTATAACTAACTATTAATAACACTGGAATCAGTTTTAACAGAACAATTACGTAATTAAACCTTTCCTTGCAGTTGGGTAATTACAGCAAATTATATATCATGGTATATTTTCTTATTAATTCTTGACAATTTTATTTGATTGGGATTCTATTGAACCAGTTTCTACATAACTCACAAGTTTCTATTTCATTTTAATCTACATATCACAACCACCCAGTGTTTACATAGTTTATTAGACCAATATTAGCCTTCTAATTTTTAATAAAAGTATTTACAAATACATTAAATTTTGCTTGAAAGTAATTCTAATCAGGACATAAACCATTTTTTTCTATAAGAACTGGTTATCTTAATAATATTTTTATTGTGCAATGGAACAACACTTCAAGAGATTTTTAAAAATCAGTGATGCATATGTAGATGTTGTTATATAAAACATGAAATATGAATATTAAAATGTTAGCTGAAACTTGGAAACATTGTAGCATGACATGTTAGTTAGAACCCTATTGTAATTGCCTTTTCATATACCAATACACACCCTTTCACTAATATCATTAAAATACTGCTTATAAATTCTTTTAAACTTTGTGTATGTCATACCTTTATATAGGTATTTGGACATTTTTTATGTAGTTAGTGTTTCCTAGAGCGAAGTGTTTATATATTAAAAGGAACATAACATACAGCTAAAATTGATATAATATGGCTGCAATTACATAAAACAGATACAATCACGATAAAAAAATATTTACTAACACTAAATCGAGAGATATCTCAGGTTTTAATTTAATGGGGCAAAATACTTTGAGAGATTATAGGGAATGTTAATGGCTGAGCTTGTGAGTTTGGTAAAGCCATTGGTTGACTAGTGCTAGAAATTGTAATCTGTTGAGTAGATGTTTGGTGTACTAGTTGTGGTGCTGAAGGTACAAGCTGTTGTTGAGCAGACTGCTGCGCTGCCAATTGTTGAGCAGATTGCTGTGCAACCATTTGTTGTGCAGACTGTTGAGCAGCTGCTGCCAGTTGTTGTGCAGATTGTTGTGCTGCTGCCAGGTGTTGAGCAGACTGAGCCAAATGTTGTGCAGATTGCTGAGCGGCAAGGTGTTGAGCTGACTGCTGGGCAGCAAGATGCTGAGCAGACTGCTGTGCTGCAGCCAAATGTTGCACAGACTGCTGAGCTGCAAACTGGGGAGCTTGATGTTGTGAAGCCAATTGTGATTGCAAAGCTGATGTCTGCACTAATTGTTGTACTGCTGTCTGAGGTCCATTGCTCATCAGTTGTTGCCCTGGTGGGGCTAATGTCAATTGTGCAGGAGTAACAGCAACTACAGTTTGTCCTCCCCCCATTAATGTTCCAGAGTCGCTAACTTGCATAAGTTGCTGAGCTCCAGCACTAGTAACTATGAGGGCTCCTGAATTCCCAACGAGTTGCTGGGTAGTACTAACTGTTAAAATTTGAGGAGCTGGAGTCAATAACTGAGCTTGAGATGCTGCAGGAGCTAAAGTTAAATTTGGTGTTGCTGCTGCAGGTACAAGCGTTGGTAAGGCACCAGCAAGGCTTACTACTGGTGTCACACTAACAGTGGCTAAAGACACAGGAGCAGAAGTTCCATGTCTTGAAGTTATCACACAAGGTTGATCACTTCTAACAGATGCTGTTTGTTCAAGTAAAAATTCATTCATTGATGTCAACTGAAGATTTTTCTCAGTCAAATCTGCAACCTTTTTTAATAAAACACTAATATTATCATGAAGTAACTTTACTTTATGATCCAGGGCTTCACAATTTGCACATACTAATTGTTGTGTGTCCATTCCCGAATCATCAAATGCATATCTTCTAAGTTTAGGTTCAGGCGGAGAATCATCATCTCTAATGTGACTATGATTAAATATATTTTTATGAATATTGCGTTTGGAGTTTAATTCATTATTTGTCACATCTCTGGCGTGAATAAATTTACAGTCTTGATTAGAACATACTCCATGAATAAAAGCTTGGCATATAACTGGAGTGCTGCGGGGGTCTCGAGGAAATACCCCAGTATTATAAAAATGCTCTTCATCTTCTAAGGTGATGTGCATAAACTTACAATTTGGTCGAAAACAGCCTTTATTTTGAAAATCGTGACAGAAACGAAAAAGCTCCTTCAAATAAACTTTCGGTGGTATTTTATGTATAAATCGGCAATTCTCTCTAGGGCAACAGCCTCGGATAAAATCTCTACAAAAGCTGCTGGCAGTTGGTATATTATCAGTGTCTTCTGGGGAAATCATTGTACCGTCAGTATTTATAGTACAATTAATAATCATGATTTTTATTAAATACTACGTTTAATTTCTTGAAAAAGGTAGACCCATGATGCACTAATATAGTAGTTAGATTGTTTGAAAAACTAGTATTAACTTTTCATCATTGCTGAAAATTCCATTTCCACAACAGAAGAACCTCGTTAAAAATGTTTGCATTTTGCGAATGAATAAAGTCACATTCTTTTCGATCAAACAATAATAAATTTATTTTTTATTTACGTACAATAAGTGCAATTTCATGCAAGAGCTCTGAATGAAATCTTCACACGTGAATAATTATACACATCCATTAAAACGCGAAGAAAAAATAAAGCGATTCGCGATTATTAGAACACGGAAACATAGACATAGATTAAAAAAGATTACCAACATAAATCACAGATTATGGAGACTACAACATTGAACATAAATATTAAACTAGGACGATGTATTGTGATACATCGTCCTAGATATTATAAGTATAACTGGCTGTCTAAAACTAATAACAGTCAACAGAGTACTCTGTGAGACTGTGACTCCTGCATAATAATTATTAATAACACTACATATTTACAAAACTTGGCTTTCCAGAATATTTTATTTTCTAAATTAAATTTTTGAATTTTTATTTTCACATATTGTGTGTTCGTCGTTTGGTCTTGTTTGATTATTCGCCAATCGCCTACATATAACTGTTTGTTCGTAAATTGATTATTTATAAATAATTAAACAAAAATTGTCATCAAAATAGCCCCGTCAATTGAAACTAATATTTTTTCTTTTTATCATTAGTTTTAAATATTTATTAACGTCTCTTCTTTTATAAAATATGTTTGTTCTACCGTCAAAGTGGCAATTTTTTGTTTAACGAAAATCATTTGGCCCCCAGGAATTTTTTCTGATTTGTGAGTTTTTATTTTCACTTATCGTTTATTCGTCGTTTGTTCTTGACTTCTTGATTATTCAACAAACCTGGGCTAAATTTGGTGAAGTATTTACAAATGAGGGCTACCATGCTTGAATTATCCGCGAGAAGCACTAGTGTAGAGTGAGGTCTCTAGACATGTCAAATGACATTATTTTCTACCGTTTGCGAGCTTTTCATCGTGGAATTTCATCAATCGCCAATCATTCACGATTATTGTAAAGATTTTGCTATTAATGATTAATTATGTTGGACACGGTACGGCTTTGTTGAACCGTACCGTGTCTACCATTATTGATTTAAAAGAAGGGTTAAGAAAAAATGAATATTTAATTTATTTAGTTATTATATATTAATTATTTAAACAAAATCCTGATCAATTATTATTACATATTATATTAAATTTATTGCTACGGCAGTAGTAGCCAGTGGTTACGTACTCGCTTGGGAAACCGAGCGAAGCGGGTTCAAATCCCGGGTCTTACATCTCTGATATTTTCATGTGCAAATCATTTCTAACATGATTACCACTTGCCTTATGGTGAAGGAACCACCACCAGAAATGATAGCTCTCATTTATGAAATTATCTAAATGCCACTCACGTTACGACAAACTGTAACCTTTACCTTTATTAATTATTATTATTTATTTGTTAGTTGGAAAGCGGCAACATTCGCTCTTATTTATGAGATAAAACAATATGGCGCCTTGACGTTTGGTTGGGATGGTGGATTTGTTAATGTTAAAAAAAAAATTTTTCAAGTATACATTTATACTTATGGAAGTTAAATTATGTTATTAGCATGAAACATAGTTAATGTTATTTTTAATTTCACAATTCATACGTTGCGAATTTTGGTAAGTTTTTATAATTTAAAACCTTCTATCATTCGTATGTTTATAATGTAAATTGTAAACAAAAAGAATTTTTAATATGTAATTATATTTAGATAATGACAATAAGTATTCAAAATGCTCAAACAACAATTGTCACCACGGAGTATCCACCCATATCAAACTACCGTTGTACCTCGGAGCGAGAAACAATTCGTGTCGGCCACACAACAAAGGGCCAAGTATCCGTGGGCTGAAGACAATAATACTCCGGTATATCAAGTTCCAGGAACAGATAGTTCTACTTCAGAAAACGCTTATCATGTAAGTATTTTTTAGTATGATACTCAATAAGTATCTGCTTTATTAAATGTATAATAAAAGTTTTAAATATATTAATAAAATAATTTTCATATAAGTATGGGAACTGAATTTTCAAAACTATATTTTCAGGTTCCTCAGTATTACCAAAGTTCTCGTAGGGATTATGGGCCACCATCACCAGTGTATCAAACTCCATATGCCACTGGAACGTGGCGGAGTTATAAAAAAAGCGAGAATTTTACCTCAAAACCAATCCCGTCCAATACATATTCATTTCCTACATGTTCATCTGCATTTTCATTGCCTGCATGTGATGTGGATAGTAGAGCAATTAACCGATCTCCCGTGCCTACTGTACCTTCTGTGAGTCCAGAGGTTCCTATAATTGGTGCTTGTGGTGGCCACTGTCCTGGATTTGAATATGTGTGCTATTATATTTTACAAGTAAGCAATTCACATTTTTTTCCTTTTATTTATTATAATTTATATTATTAGATAAGTTATTTACATCTGCTATAAAATGGAATTTCAAAATAATTCAAAATCAACTTAAAATAACTGTAAAGTGGATTTATCTTTAATTGCTATGAAATTTCTCTTTGCAGGTGATATTTGTAGTAGGTGTATTAACAGGAATCTCTCTTTGTATTGCTGGAATTGTGTTAAGAAGAACTAACAGGAATGGAGACCTTGGGGTTTTAGTTTATATAGGTAAGCTGTAACAGAGTAGATATTGATTAATTGGGAAGAAATAATCTTGATACAAATATACTTGTTTATTGTAGAATATATATGTTTATTGTTTATACTTATATATTATAATATATATTTATGTATGTCCTTATCGATATTTATGTAAGCTTGTGTGTACTTTATAGTATGTACCGTTTAAGTAAGTTTATTAAAGACTAGTTCTTTTTTTTTTTTGCACCAACCATAATCCATGTCACCCTATGAGTTTCTTTATAATATAGGTTGCCTGGAAGAGATCACTTTAGTGATAAGGCCGCCTTTACACTAATATTAGTTAAGTTATATATTCTTGTATATTGTATTTTTATTTTTATTTTTGGTGTAATAAAGGATTAATAAATAAATAAATAAAATAAATACTTGTTGAGTGTTAGTGGATACTTTTAGAGGACAAAAAATAGCTAAGGTCCATACCAGAAACAATACTACTATATAGTATAATCGAATCTGCATATTATCATCCATGCTATATCGCATTTTGTTGGCTATTGCAGTATTGTTGTAATAGTATCACACGTTTCAATGATTCACCAATGTCAGATGTGGAAAGGCAGAAAAAATTACTTGATTGTTGCAGATTAAGAAGTTGATGTTTAAAGTAGCAAGTTTGTTCCAACCCTTGTAACTAGCATTAGTAGTTCTAATTAAAAATAAGAGCATTTTTAACATCAATTTTTAATATGTATATTGTATATCTAATCATGTTATTGTATATATGTATAGAATGGTATTACATTTTATATAATTGTAGCATGTTTTTCAGGTTGTCTGTCTTCTTGTGTATGTGGGGTTCTGCTTGGTGTCCAATGTTGTGTTCGCCGTGAGATAAGACAAAGGAAGCTACGTGCCAATTTGCATATTCCAATGCAATCCATACAGGTAATTATAAGTTCTTCTCAAAAGCTTATAATTATTATAAGTGAAAAACTAAATCAGTATCACAGTCTACCAATCAATGTACATATCTAAGGCAGACAGAGCCATGGTGCAAGGCATGCGGGTTGAGAGCGGCAGAGAGACCCGTCTGTTGTACTTACTTTTACATGACAGTTGGGAAACAGCATTAGGGTTGATGGGTGTAATTATAATTCAAATATTTGGCACAAGATGGCACTATATTGCTTAAACATCAAATCTATTCACTATGTAAATAGGTATTTTTATTACAACCCTACAAGAGTATAGCTACAAATAGCATTTGTGTAAAAATCTAAGGGGTATTTTATTATCTATTGTATGGATTTTTATACTGTGCCAGCTATGTACTTTAGCATTTTGGCTACGACAATAAAATAGAACATACACAGAAAATATTTGGAAAGTCAAAGTAAATAGCATAACTATGAATATACACGATATACGATATTTCGAGTTCTAATTTCATTTCAGGTGTGTGGAAACATGCATAAGTATTAAATATACACTCGTTGGCTAATTACATATATGACAAATTTTCTTTATAATATAATTATTTTTTCCACAGGAGGCTCCAGTCCAAGCTTGCCCATTGCTGCCATCTACATTACCTCATACTCATAGTCAAGTGTATAGGTGAGCATGAAAAAGTTGATCTTTATTTTACTCGCTTATGTGTATATAATATTATGTTCAATTTAGCTAAAAGTGATTATTGGACTTGGTATGAAAGTTTGTATTGGAAAGTAAGCTAGGGTGAGTCGCTAGTTTATAATATTTATACAGATGTTTAGTTGAATGAGTGTTTTCTTGCAGACCGACTACTGCCGCGGCGTGCCCCGCGGAGGACGTCACGGGCGTCCCGTGGTGGCGCCGCACTAGAGACTGATTAGCTTTAAGTTTATATACAAATCGAAACTTTTGTATGATTAGTGCGATTTTGTTAATAATAAATATTGCTTTATAATAAATTGTTGTTTTTTATCGTTTATCTAATTCAGAATTTTATTAATTCTGATTGGTCTACGAGCAGATACTATGTACGTCCAATTAGTTGAAAGTACTGGGCGACCGAGCTTCGCTCGGAGTTCTTTTCTGTTATTTTTTAGATAAAAAAAACTAAAAACTTGAATAAAGACAAAAAAAAAAACAAAAATAAAATCTTTATATCCGATCGATAATACGAAAGAAAAATACATGAAAACTCGAAAATACGTGTTTTCTCAGACATAAGACTAATCTAGATCGATTTTTCACCCCCGAAAACCGCCACATACCAAATTTCAGCGAAATCGTTAGAGCCGTTTCCGAGATCGCCGTCATAAATAAATATACAAGAATTGCTCGTTTAATTAGATTAGATAACTACAGTGGTTTATATTCATTAGTAAGTAATTAAAAAGAAATATAGCAAGCAAAAATAAAAATTAAGGCACCTTGGGAAACGGCATTCCCGTTTCACAAGGTGCCTTAATTATTATATTTATTTCCGCTTTTTTTTAACTGAGCTTAAAATTTCCAAGCGCTCTATTAGTAAGATGCCTGTAAAACGTTCCTCTCAGGCCGCCTACTCCACTAATAGATCATTAACAATAACAATGCCTGACCTAAATGTCTTACAAAAGAAATGTTAGATTGTGTTGTGGATCTTACGATAACGTTATTTCACAATAATTTGGTTAATTAAAATCCAATTGGAAGCAAGACAATTATAGTATAGTAAATTCGTTTATGAAGGAATTCAGTGTATGTGTATCATTTAGATAAATTTTATTGATTCATCGGTTTAAAATTAAGCGGACTTAATTGAAATAGTTCAAATTCATGTATTTATGTACTTGAGTAAAAATTCATATTTAAATTATGAGGCAACGGAAATCGTACTCGTACCTCCAAAAGTATAGCAGTGAGTACTTTTTATAGAAAACAGTTCTTTACTTAAATAAAAGTATTCTCTATTCATACAATAAGACGGCTATGTATGATATTCATATTTATAACTTTAAGTCTAACAACATGTGGTCTTCGTAAACCGAACTTCACATTTCGAAGTTTACTTTTGCTCACTTCGATTAATTTCGCAGTCATTTTGTAAAGGTATATAACAGATAGACCTTTACTTTCGAAAGCATTGAAGTCGAAGAAGACTAGAGCCGTTACGTTATTTTCCTAAAAAATTGCATTTAAAAAATTATTAAAAAAATTAAACTATCAAAACTTTACCCATTTTATGCAGAATTTAGATAATAGGGTTTTTTTTTATTATACCTAGGGGCGGCGCTAAGGTTGAACCCGGCTTTGACTTTACCAAGACAAGAGTAGAAATAAAACACAAATATAATAATTATTATTTATTGAAATGGAGATTGAAGACATTAAGTACACATAAATATTACAAAATAATGTACTTTAAGTACTAAAATAACTAAACTTAATATCATCGACACACATCACTTGCACCACAAATTGTTGAAAACATAAATAAAATTATAGAATAAATGATAAACAGTTTATATTAAATTGATTATTAAAATATAATATGCTTATGGCTACTTGTGTTTCGCTTAGCTAAATACTGCTTTTATTTACATTAAATGATTTTATTTAAGTTAGTTTTCAAGTACAATTGTGTGATGTTTGTTTAAGAATACTATTGATATAGGTAAATATTATTTAAAGATTTAAGAGAGCTTAGAATACATATAATATCAATTATCGAGATAAAGTTATCGAATTAAATGCTTAACAGTCCATTTTATAGCTTAGCAAAATATTGAAATTCGAAGGAATTGTGAAATTAGGTCACACATTATACTGTCTGTCATTACGGAGCAGAACAGTTGTTTACTGAACCTCTAAGCATTAAGTTACAACTTAATGTACTTAATAGTTATAAATTAATTCCCATAATTAGATAATATAACAATTTTTTCTTACGCAACAAAAAGCATTATTCGTATATTCGTTTAAATTTCAATGACACAATCGATTCGTTACGAAATAGGTTCAACTCTTACCATTTTGAATGTCAGCTGTCTGGTGTCATCGCGCTAACAAATACGTACACTTAAAACTAATAAGGACGGTCTCAAAAAAAAAACATCAATTATTTCAACTTACAAATTATCTAAATCTAGTTCCAAATTGGAATATTCAATACAAAGCATACATACATATTTTAATATTAACTGCTGGTGGATGTTTAGGTTCTTTCACAATAGCTTTTAAATTTTGCTAAATTAGGTACTTTTATAAGCACATTGTTATAGAGTATATTGTAAGCTGAAAAGGTAGATTTGTCTATGTATTACAAATACTAATATCTTTAATTCCATATGTGTATGATTTTTAATAAACTAAGGATTTAAAGACAATTAATTAGAACTGTTAAATGATTTGTTTCGGTTTTCGTTAGTTCCGAAAATAGCCAGTGGGGAAATCTAATCGCCAATATTGCTTATACACAAATAATGAATATAACAAAACAAGGAAAGTCCCTTGACTTTGTTGCAAATAGTAACTTTAACAAATTCAAGTGTGTAATGTATATTAGGTTCTTAAAAAATATATAGATTGACTCTATCTCACTATCTCGTGCTCTAACGTGCAGTGCGTAACTGCCTGACGATGCATCATTTCAAATAGCAAATAATCTTATATAAAAAAAAAATCTCAGGCGTTTTATCTAGTGCAAAATAACGTTCACTATGTATTTAAATAAATATTATTAAAATAAAAATTGTGCCGTTTTGCAAAATAAGGAAATCCAAATTGATTGATTCAAAGGGAACTAGCGCCAGCGCTGTTTTAACATTATAATCAAACATTTTCTGCTTATATTTTATATAAATATTGTAATATGCATTTTATAAATGATTAACATAATGCAGTTTTGCAAAAATAATTTTGTTAAAATATTATAAATTGATAAGTTTAGCAAACCATACCTACTAAATTAATAAATATTATACATATAGCTACATAATTAAGCTACCTTTTTGTATATAACCCTCAAATACTTTATATTAATACATGATATTTGCCTCTTAATTTATTTCGTGTTCTCGATATATCGGCATTTGCAAAAATAATCAAAATTTAATACCTTTTTCTTTTAAAGTATCATAGAATTGCGTTATTAATTTACGTCTTTAATAAATAACAGCATTAATATTTAAAAAGCAATGAAGACTACACTTTTTAAGAGAGAACAGTACACATACTACATTATATGATTTCCTAATTGAAATACATGTACATACATATACATAAGGACATTAAATCTAGTTTATAATCTGGACGATAATTTGGCCACATGTCTTGTAAATTACGATTATTAACTATCAAATCTATTTTTATTTGAATAAAGACCATGTGTATAACACCAAGAAAATATATCTGACGCCGTAAAATTCCTTTAATTTGAAAAAAAAATATATAAAATAATACTAGGATAGTTAAAAGAAAAAAACGTCCCAAATCAATAAAATTAAAACGCTCAAAAGAAGATTCCATATTGAAAAAATAAACATAGATAAAATATCACACAAAAACGTTTCAAATAATTTGTACCTTAAAATGCAATCGAAATAATACCACAAAACGATTCTTTCTTTTGTTATGGCAATAACGAGTCATTACCGCGTACAAAACGGGTTATACGATATCCATTTTTAAAGGCGATATTCATAAAAATAAATTCTTTGCTTATACAAATATTTACGTACTAATGTACATACAGTTAGAGGGTTAAAACGTTTTATAGGTGGACATTATTCAGGCCTCGCCTGTTCGCAAGAAAATACTTCGCTCGTCGTATTTACGCGACCGACGGTCGACCATCCAACATTTTGTCACTCTCCTCTGCGCTGCTCAGACTGAAAATAAAAAATAAAAAAAAAACTTTTTATTGAACTGTGACGCTTAGAGAAAGTTACAAAACAAGCCACATGTAACCAACCGGCTTTAGTTTGACGAATGGTTAGAAAATCAGTTGATCAGTCAACAAAATTCAACATATGTATAAACAAAGAAAGCTTTCACCAGACACTTAAAATGATCTTATTTTTATTTTTTATCATTTTTATTCAATTACTAGCGGCCCACTCTCACTTTGCTCGGGAACTTTTTCCGGGATAAAAAGTAACCTATGTGTTATTCTGATGAATGAGTTATATTATTGTAAAGTTTCAATAAAATCCATTCAGTAGTTTTTACGGGAAAGAGTAACAAAAATCCATACATCTATACATACATACATCCATACATCTTCACAAACTTTCGCATTTACACTATTATATTTAATCTATACATATAATAAAATTGTAACTAAGCCGAATCTGTAAATTAAATATTTTTTGGAAAATCTTATTGAAATAAACCTTATTATCGATACAGACACCGAATCTATAGCTTTTGGAATTTTTGTCTGTGTCTGTTACCGCATCACAGAAAAACCACTGGAGGGATTTTGATGAAATTTAGTATGGTGATAGATGGTTATCCGGGTCAACATATAGGATACTTTTTACCGCAGGAAAATATCTCATTTCTGAGAAAAAATACAAAACTTGCAATGTAAGAGTATACTACCTAAGAATTTAGTTTTTGGTCATCAGAACGCGGGCGGAGCCGCGGGCAATGCTAGTTATTAATATAGTCCTATATAAACACCATTAGTAATAATATTCAACGTGTCTGAACGAGTTTCATGAAAATTATTGGTGTGTCTAAACCGTTATGTTACGGAAGTTTATTATAAAGAATGCAAATATAATTTACATTTCAATCCTTCATAACTGTCGTGATGGAGACAGAATGTACCTGAGGAGGTAAACAATACTTGACAATGGGGTCCGACACGTGTACTCTTGCCTCACTAAGGGTGCCATCACAATACTCTTGCGATCCTTTGTATTATAAAATAAACAACGATTTCTGTCCTGTCGTTTACGTAACCGTCACCGTGTACCAGTTTGTTTAACATTATAAAGGCGTTATGGCGTTATCTTACGTGGCAATTTCCATAACGATCGTTTGTGTTAGGTGAAGAAAATTGAACAATAGTCAAGTTTATTAACATATTTTTGTTATCTATGATTTCGAGGTTTTATGACTTTATAAAGAACGTTTATTGGAAAAGTTTTATACCTACTCTAAATTCGTATTTCTTAAAACTAATGTGTGTGAGAATTTAGTATAATTGTTAACTCCATTTAGCTTTATTTAAAACTAGCAACACATCCTCGCTTCGCTCGAGTTCGTCCCTAGGTTGATTCCCCATACTAACTTTTATCCCCATTTTCACCACCTTAAGGGATGAATTCCGGGATTAAAAGTATCCTATGGCCTTCCCAGGGTCTCAAACTATCTTCTCAGTAAATTTCATCTAAATTGGTTCAGTAGATCCAAACTTACCCCGATACTTTTCGATTACTTAGTTGTAGGGACAACGTCACAAAGTCACTGTTTCGGACGACCAGAACCAGGGTATGTCTAGTACCCGGAGGTCGACCTGGGACAATCTCCCAGACGTTCTTGGCGTACACGGCAGTATGTCCGTTCGCTGGTAATGTACGCCACCACGCACCCCTGAATGCGTAGCTTGGGTCCCGATCCACTAGGGTTTCTTCGTTGACAGGAGACTATACTTAGAGGCGATGAAATAAAACACAATTTTTCCTTTTTTCTCTCTTGGTTTCGGTTCTTCCTTTTCCTTTTAGTTGTTGCCTCTTCGGTGGCTGTCTTGCGACTGACTCGAATCGAGAAATGGCTCGCCTTTTATTTGGCCCGTTAATACCTTACAGAGAGCCGCGTACTTTGAGCTCATTTTTCGAATAAAATTTCCCTAAACCGAAACCTTGAGAGTCCTTTTATTTTATGTTTTCAGTAAAACACCTTACACATATTTATTTATTTACATGCCTTACATACTATTATACAATATTAAAACATAATATTCAATATATAATAATTAATTAAAGAAGTCTTAAAACAAAAATATCTAAATTTCTAGGTTGCTACATTTTTACTATACATTTTCCCTTATAACTTTTGAACGGATAGTCCTATCGACCTAATTCTTGTTTTATTATAAGTTTTATAATAAAATCTATTATTTAAAACATAAACTATTATGCTATTGCAAGAAACAAAAAATCTCATTTTCAAGTTACGTAATTATATGCTAACATTTTACTTACGTACCTATTCCTTTCAAATTAATGTTAAATAGTCTTATATGATTCAAATAAGCAAAAAATACTCTAAACTAACCTTATTACACTAATTAGAACTTATTTTAACATAATAAATCTAATAAGAATGAGATTTCATATTTACAACAATTATTCATAATACGCTAAAATGACATTGTCCCTATATTAATACACACGTTACTCGAAGATAGGTTTTCCGTCGCCGACATTCTCCCCCTCGTGCTTTGCACCAACTCCTGGACTCGGCGACGCTCCCGGCACCAACAGCACCACTCTCGAACTGGGCCTCCGTAGAGCACCTCCTCTGGTCTCGACGTCGACGACTCTGGTCCGCCCGTCTGGTCCAGGATACACATGCAGGATTCTTCCGCGTGGCCAGATGCATCTTGGTAGGCTGTGATCGACGATCAGTACGATGTCTCCGACTTGCAAATCTGTGGCGCTGACTCTTCCTTTGGTCTTCCTTGGTAGTAGAGTGGGCAAATACTCTCTCAGCCAACGTTGCCAGAAGTGATCGGCAAGTCGCTGCGTAGCCTTCCAGGTGTGTCTGCCCACAAGCTCGTTGTCCTCGAAGCTGCCGATTCTTGCTGCGCCACATGATCGCCCGATGAGAAAGTGGTTCGGTGTAAGTGCTTCTTCTTCAGGGTTCTCGGAGAGGTGGGTGAGGGGCCGAGAGTTAACTATGTGCTCGGCCTCTAACAGGAGGGTATGAAGTACCTCCTCTCGTGGTTGCCTTTCGTTGAGCGTGGCGTCCAGTGCGGTTTTAATGGATCGCACCAGACGCTCCCATGCACCTCCCATGTTTGGTGCACCAGGAGGTATGAACTTCCACTGCACGCCGATCTTCTCCGCTTCCGAGATAAGGTCTTCTTGCTTCATGGTGTCTAGTGCTTCTTTGAGTTCTTTGTTGGCGCCAACGAAGTTAGTGCCATTGTCGGTGTAGATTATCTTTGGCATTCCCCTTCTCGCGGCGAATCGTCGTAGTGCCATGATCATGCTGTCAGTGGAGAGTGAAGGAGTGAGCTCAATGTGTACAGCTCGTGTTGTTAAGCATGTGAATAGAGCACCCCATCTCTTCTCATGGCGTCTTGCTACGGTGATCGTCATAGGGCCGAAGTAATCTATTCCCGTGCACGTAAATGGAGGGTTTCCGTGCATCAGCCTCTCAGCAGGTAAGTTGCCCACTGGTAGTTCTTGAGGTCTTGCCTTTCTTGTTTTGCACCACTGGCATTGATGTTGAATGGTCTTGATCGCTGACCTCAGTCCTAGCACCCAGAAGCGTTGTCTTACTTCGTTCATTACGGTCGCGTGATTCCCGTGATTGAAGCGGCAGTGAAATTCTTCTATGATGAGAAGTGTTGTCTTGTCCTTGCTGTCGAGTACGATGGGTCGTTTGTAGTCTCTGGTAACCCCTCGTATCGCGTCGATTCTTCCTTTCAGTCGCAGGAGACCTTCTTCTAGCACTACGTCGAGCCTTTTCAACTTGCTGCTGCCCTCTAATTGTTTTCCTTGCTGTAGGCACCTGATGTCCTCTTTGAAGCATTTCTCTTGACTTCTTCTTAACAACAGCGTTTCAGCTTGCTCTAGTAGACTTGTTTCCAATGGTATGTATTTCCTTTCTGACGTTTTTGAAGACAGATGTCGCTTCTCAACAATTTTCTTATTCCTTTTTGTAGTTTTCCAGGTAGGATCTTCTTTGCTGGCGTGGACCTTTTCCTTTCTTCTGCAGAGTTGTATGAACTGCAGTACTCTTGCTGTAGCTCGCCAAAGTCTTTTCCACGACGAGAACTTTTCGGGATCTGGTGATGGATAGGAGCTGCCTGCAGTCGCTACGATGTCCGCTGCCTTTTCTTCGCCAGTGGTTTCTTTCTTGAATGTTCTTGCCGCAGGCCAGTGAACTTCATCTCTTCTTAGAAACCCTGGTCCGGTGTACCATCGGTGTTGGCAGTCGAAGTGTTCTGGTACGTCACGTGTTGCATCATCTGCAGGGTTCTGCGCCGTCGGTACCCATCTCCAGTCCTGTGGTTTTGTGAGATCTTCTATCTCCGCCAAGCGATGAGCCACGAATGTCTTGAAGGTTCTCGGGTCCGTCTTGATCCATGATAGCACGATACTGGAGTCTGTCCAAAACGTCTTCTTTTCTATTTTCAGATCCATTTCTTCCTCGACCGAGTGTGCCAATCTGCTTCCTAGGAGGGCCGCTTGCAGCTCGAGTCTCGGGATTGACACCGGCTTCAACGGAGCGACTCTTACTTTTGCTGCTACTAAGCTGACGTCATAAGTCCCATTTTGATTTTCAGTTCTCCAATATACCGTAGCTGCATACGCCATTTCGCTTGCATCCGTGAACGTGTGCAGCTCCCCCTCGGTGCGACGTGGTGCCAGACATCTCGGGATCTGAAGGTCTTGGAGCAGCTTCATCTTCTCCAGGTAAGTCTTCCATGACTCGTACTCCTTTTCTTCTATCTCTTCATCCCAACCGACGCCACTTCGCCATATGTTCTGGAGCAGCCTTTTGCCTTGGATGAGAATTGGTGATGCTAGCCCTAGTGGATCGAAGGTCGACATCACGGCGCTGGTGACTTCTCTCTTCGTAGGTACCTTGAGTCCTTGTGCCACTTCATCTGGCGTGTTCCGAAGGTTCGCCCTAAAGCCTATGGAGTCCCTTTCTGTAAACCAGCGTAGTCCCAGTGTCTTCTCTTCCTTCTCACCAAGGTCCACCTCTGTCTTCTCAACTGACTCAGTCTTCACGTCTTGCAGCAGGTCGGAGTGGTTTGACGCCCATCCTCGGAGTTCGAAGCCCGCCTTTTTGTGAATGAAGTCCACCTGCGCTGTAATTCTCTTGAAGTCCTCTTCTGAATGGAAGCTGTGCAGGTAGTCATCCATGTAATGGTTCAGCTCGATTGCCTTTGCTGCCTCTGGGTACTGCTTCTTGTAGTCCGCCGCGTTCCGGTTCTTCACGTAGATCGCTGTGCTAGGAGATGATGTCGCGCCGAAGATGACTGATGTCATTCTGTACTCCTTCGGTGCTACGTCACGACGATCCCCTCGCCACAGGAACTTCAAGCTGTTTCTATCTTCTGGCCGGATGCGAACTTGCAGGAACATTTCCTTTATGTCGGCTGCCACTGCAAACGGGCCTTGCCGGAACCTCAGTAATACCCCGAAGAGCGATTGCAGTAGGTCTGGTCCCGGTAGTAAAGCGTCGTTGAGGCTTCTCCCTTTAGACTTGGCTGCAGCGTCGAAGACGATCCTTATTTTCTTCTTCAATGGATGTACCACGGAGAAATGAGGGAGGTACCATGTCTTCTTTGAATCTTCTTGTCCACCAGGTGCTTCTTCTGCATACTTGCTGTCGATTAGATGCTGGATCTGCTTATTGTATTCTGCCTTCAGCTGAGGGTCTTTGTCTATCTTCTTTTCAATGTTGAACAATCGGTTCTTGGCAGACGTGTAGCTTTCAGGCATCTGTTCATCTTCATTTTTCCATAGAAGTCCAGCTTCAAATCGACCATCTTCTAGTCTTCTGCAGGTCTTCTCTAGGATGGTGAGTGCTCTTCCTTCTGAATCCGTAGTGGGTCTTCTTGGTAGTACTCCAAGTGCTTCGATTGCGAAGTGATCCTTGATGGCTTGATGCATCTCTTCTTCTGGCGTGCTGACATGTAGACACGTGTTTAAGAAGTGCACCACTTTCGCGCCTCCAGTGTCTGACCCGTGGAGCACCCATCCAAGTCCTGTTCTTGAAGCGACTGGTTGTCCTGGTTTCCCTCTTCTTACTTCTTGAGTCACGATTAGCTCCCAGTTGTCTTGACCGATGAGCAGCTGTGGTGACTCCCCCTTATAATATAGAGAGTCAGCAATCTTCTTCAAGTGTTGACACTCTTCTATCCTTTTCTTTTCTAGGAACTGCGGTGCAAGCTTCAACTCGTCGATGGTCCGGACTCTTCTCAAGGTCTTCTTGGTCTTCTGATGAATCCCCTTCACCGTAAGGTCCAGCATCTGAGAGTCTTCCTTCCTTATCAGCCTGCCTCCAACAGTCTCGATGACCAGTTCCTCCTTTCTTCCTTGAGCGCCGATTTCTTCTGCTACCTTCTGGTCTAGCAGCGACACTGTTGACCCTTCATCCATGAGGGCCAATATCTTCTTTGATCCTTTTGACCCGAAGATTTCTATCGGAATTATCTTCAGGTATGCCCTTGCGTTGTTGACCGCATTCACCGATGCCATGATGCTCGCCACTTCTTGTGGTTTGTTCTTCTGTTCTTCCGAGGAACTTTTCTCTGTCTCGACGTGCAGCAGATGATGATGCCACCTCTTGCATTCCTTGCACGACGGCTTCTTGCAGCTCTCCTTCCGATGTGTCCCTTGTAAACACTTGAAGCAAACGCGGCTTTTCTTCACTATTGCCCATCGATCTTGCACAGACGCCTTCAGGAACTTCTGACACCCGACGAGGAAGTGTTCACCCTCACACATGGGGCAAGTCTTCTCTGATCTTGAAACCTTTTCTTTGAAGTCCTTTTCCTTAGTTGAATGCGTTGCTTGTCGATGAGTCCGTCTGAACCCGCTCTTCTCTTCTGTTGATGCATAGGCTCCACACTTGTCTGCTTCTCTGTTCAGGAACTTGGACACCAGTGTTAGGTCGGAGAACTCGCCTTCTTCTGTTGTTTCAATGAAGTCGTACCATCGGAACTTGAGGATCGTAGGCATCTTCTCAATAATTTGTTTCACCATCTCAGGTGAATGCAGGTACTGTGGTTTCTTCAATCCTTTTATTGCCGCTACGCTGTTGCTGATCTGGCTCGCGAAGAGGCATATGTCCCTTGGGTTTTCAGAAATCTTCGGCAACGTTTTGACCTTGTCCAACTCTGCCAGCACCAGTGCATCTGGTCTTCCATATCTTCTTCTGAGGGCTTGAATCACTTCCATCGGAGAGGCTTCGGAGTACAGCAGACTCTTGATAGCTTCTCTTGCGTTGCCCTTCAGTGCTCTTCTTAGCCGAGCCATATTCTGGACGTTGTTGAACATCGGTGCTGTATCTTCATAGACAACCTTGAAGGCCATCCACTCGCTGCTGTTGCCGTCGAAGTAGGGTAACTCGTGAATGTAGGTTGGCTGTCCTGCTGGTCCTCGCGTGGTAAGAGCTTCCTTCAATGCTGCCGTCAGTGCTTGAATTTCAATCGTAGCTCCTCTCGTTGAGGAGTTCTCTTCAGGCTTCATCTTCTGTGGCTCTTCCAAGGGGTGTGGACCTCGCATCTCTGGTTGAACTTTGTTGCCATCCTCCAGCACAGACGTCTCGATCCAGTTCTGCACCTGTGCTGTTCTGTCTTCCAGGTCTTCATCCACGGAGTCCTCTTCTTCACACTGTGCCATCTCCAATCTGACACGGGCTAGCTTAGTTTCAGCCTGTGCTTGCTTCAACTCCAGGCGTGCCAACTCTTCCTTTGCTTCTAGCTCGCGTCTTCTGGCCGAGGAACTCGTGGTCTTCGTGGACCTGGCGCGACGACTGACCCCCATCGGTTTCAGGGTCTTGGAGGAGCCTTGAACATCCTTTCCAGGTACATCTTCTTGGCTCTTCCTGGTCATCCTCTGTGCAGCATCTTCTTTGTTGCCTTCCATAGACGCCGCCGTAGTTGCAGTCGTAACCGTAGTCTCCGTCACTGTGGTGCCCTCCGTGGTCGTGGTACCCGAAGAAGTGTTCGATGTAGTTGCAGTTCCCGATGACGCCGACGCTGACGTGACCCCTTCTGATCCCGACGTTCCATCTGTCGCGTCCCTATCTGAAGGACGGGACCCGGGACGTGAGGGGGCATCCTTCTGCGACCTGGTTACCGGCATCTTGAACGCAATCTTCTGTTTCTTCTGAACTTCTTCTAGCAGGGATCCGGCTCGAAGGACCAACTGTTTCGGACGACCAGAACCAGGGTATGTCTAGTACCCGGAGGTCGACCTGGGATAATCTCCCAGACGTTCTTGGCGTACACGGCAGTATGTCCGTTCGCTGGTAATGTACGCCACCACGCACCCCTGAATGCGTAGCTTGGGTCCCGATCCACTAGGGTTTCTTCGTTGACAGGAGACTATACTTAGAGGCGATGAAATAAAACACAATTTTTCCTTTTTTCTCTCTTGGTTTCGGTTCTTCCTTTTCCTTTTAGTTGTTGCCTCTTCGGTGGCTGTCTTGCGACTGACTCGAATCGAGAAATGGCTCGCCTTTTATTTGGCCCGTTAATACCTTACAGAGAGCCGCGTACTTTGAGCTCATTTTTCGAATAAAATTTCCCTAAACCGAAACCTTGAGAGTCCTTTTATTTTATGTTTTCAGTAAAACACCTTACACATATTTATTTATTTACATGCCTTACATACTATTATACAATATTAAAACATAATATTCAATATATAATAATTAATTAAAGAAGTCTTAAAACAAAAATATCTAAATTTCTAGGTTGCTACATTTTTACTATACATTTTCCCTTATAACTTTTGAACGGATAGTCCTATCGACCTAATTCTTGTTTTATTATAAGTTTTATAATAAAATCTATTATTTAAAACATAAACTATTATGCTATTGCAAGAAACAAAAAATCTCATTTTCAAGTTACGTAATTATATGCTAACATTTTACTTACGTACCTATTCCTTTCAAATTAATGTTAAATAGTCTTATATGATTCAAATAAGCAAAAAATACTCTAAACTAACCTTATTACACTAATTAGAACTTATTTTAACATAATAAATCTAATAAGAATGAGATTTCATATTTACAACAATTATTCATAATACGCTAAAATGACATTGTCCCTATATTAATACACACGTTACTCGAAGATAGGTTTTCCGTCGCCGACAGTCACAATCTCACAAACCTCTTTATAATATTAGTATAGAAGTATAGACCACGATTAAATGTTGCCTTCAGGCAAGTGCGTAGTGAAATAGTTAATGAGATTTGAAATAATAACTACAACTACAAAAACACTTCAATAATTTTTCCTATCTCAAAGTTATCCATTAAATATAAATATTGTTTTTGCTTTTATTTACGATATAGCATTTTTTTTGGAAAAATATTAACACATGACATAGATATACTGAAAAATAATCATGAGGAAACAAACAAATTAAAAGTTGATTTATATATCTATAAATCATATAAGACATCATTAATATCTAAAGTGTGTTTGTATGCAATTCACTCACGGCAGAAGTAAAACTTCTTTGGCAAATATCGCAAATAAATTAATTAAAAAATATCAATAATTAAATAAGGAATATTAGGCCTAACCATATATTTATAGAATATCATATACGGAAAGAATATAATAACATATTATTCAGTATTATTTTTGACTTCCTGTTTTATGTGTTTGTCTCTTTCTCATGCTGCATTTCCGTTTCATCAAGTTTTAAATCACAACGATTCTAAAGAAGTTTGAGTTCAAAAAATGTAATCCTTACCATTCCTTGTTGTCCATTAGGTTGCGCATTTCATCATCGGGTGCGGGGGGTGCGTCCCGTACGGGCGCGTACTGTGCGGCCACTAGGGGGTCTGTCGAGGGGTTGAGAGCTGTTAAGGCGGCAGCCCCGCTGGTTTGTGCCTCCTTGCCGCCTCCCCATCGAGCTGACCATGCCCACCCACCGATACCTATAAGGCATAATTTTACCACTTTAATATTTTATTGGTTAGCTACCTTCCGTCAAATAGAAGCCCCGAAGCCGGAAACATGTACTCAAGCATTGCCTAGGCTATCTATATCTATCTATTATTATTAGTGCGTTTAAAATAAAATCATGTATGTACATATTCACAAATATGGTAGCTGGTAACTGCGGGAAAATTATTATAATTTTATTTGTTGTTTTATGTAACTTCTATCATAAAGCTATTGAAAAATCTATGTAAAAATTACAGAGACACATAGACTTAGTTTGTAATAGTATTTCGAATAAACCCTTCGTTGCGGGACCCTAAAACTATATTATCTATACCACCTACATATAATAAAACTGTAACTAAGCCAAATCTATACATTAAATATTTTTTGGAAAATCTTATTGAAATAGACATTATTATTTATTATCGATACAGAGGCCGAATCTATAGTTGTTAGAATTTTTGTCTATCTGTCTGTCCGTCTGTTACCGCATCACGGAAAAACCACTGGAGGGATTTTCATGAAATTTGGTATGATGATATCTGGTAATCTGGGTCAAGATATAGAATACTTTTTACAGCGAGAAAATATCTTATCTCTGAGAAATGAGAATAAATATAAGTAAGGACGAACCGGAGCGAAGAGAGAGTGAGTCGCTAGTGAGTGTATAAACCTTTTAATTAAATTTGTAATAATATTCGAATCACATACTCGTATATTTTCGATTCGCATTTACTTCCTTCCTTTGTATAAGTTCAAAAGTAATAAAAAAGTCTGTCATTATTCACACAATTGTGCCCTTAGTATTACTATTTCCGCACATTTATACTACATAAATGTAGGTATATATATAATTAACCTCCGATTTCATGTCACGTATATAGGATGTTTCAAATTGAAAGAGAAGGGCATTTTACCAAGAAATAACAATATTCTAAAATTAGTTACTTTTATGACTCAACAGCATTATTCACGAATTGTTAATTTTAATACTATAGTATTGCATTTTGTATACAAAAACTAAGAAGTTTCATCGTTATTTTTTTTTTATTTATTTGCAGCAATATCCAAAAATGTGAATAGTAATGTTAATATGTAGACAGAGGAAGTCGTTTTGTCTGTTTTTGACTTCGACACAAATATCTGATTAGATATCGATATCGATATTTGTCGGTAAATTGAACCCTCGTTCAGTATTTTTTTTAGTGTCTGGTTTTATTTATATTTAAGTAAAAATAATAATGTTTAATATTTATTTTTAATATCGGTAAAATTACTTTGCCTTCTTCATTGTTATAAATTTAATAAATTCTCTACTACTTGGGTCTTGGGATAATCACAATAGTCCAGTTAGCGGAAACTATCAATGGCTAAAAGGTTAAGGTCAGATAACAATGTGATTACTTAGCTGAGCAGAAAAAAAAAGCTGAAATAAACCTATTTACCTAATACAATAGCGTGTCATTCTTATGAAATAATACTAACTTTTGAAGATCATTATACATACATATTACATATTTAGACTTTGACTTGGCTTGTACGTAACAAGGAAATCGTTATTTAATTAATTAGCAGAAAAAATACCATATAATTTAATTTTAACTTATTGTAAAAATGTTTTATTTAATCTATACATATAATAAAATTCTGAGTTGAATCTGTACATTAAATATTTTTTGGAAGATATTATTGGTATAGTCATTATTATCGATAGAGGCCGAATCTATAGTTTTTAGAATTTTTGTCTATCTGTTTGTCTGTTTGGGAACGTATCACGAGAAAACCACTAGACAGATTTTGATAAAATTTGGTATGATAATAGCTGTTTATCCCGATCAACATTTAGGATACTTTTTATTGCGGGAAAATATCTCGTCTCTGAGAAATCTACAATAACCCTAAAAAGAACGAACCCGAACGGAGCGAGGTTGAGTCGCTAGTAATATATATAATTATGACAATTACGTTACACAAAATATAAAAAACATCTGCTTGAAATGAGTAGCTAGTAGCTACATATATATTATATGTAACCTACTTACATGTTTAGTATGTTGTTTTTATAATGTCAATATTAGTAAGACAAAAATATTAGTAAGGCCAATATAAACATTATATTATGCAAAATATAAAAATTTACCTACGCTACTTACGATCACATAGCCTATATTAGATGCAACTCTACGTTATTTATACATATATATTAATTATTAAAATACTGGCATATAAGAAAATGTATCACAATTTCTTAAAAACACTTCTGGTTAAATCAAAGTAATATTAAGTCTATTTTTTCTTAAGTATTATACTTATTATAATATTATTAAACAATAATTTACGTCATTATTCAAACTTAATATTTTACTTTTTCCGATCGGAGCAATATTGCATTCAATTTGCAGTTTAACTAGTTTTTTAGCATATTATACGAATAGCATCACAGCGATATCATCTAATGAGAATGTAAAATGAGAAATAAAAGCGTAAATTTGGCTTCATTTCATAAATCTATATTCTATTCAAATTATAATAGAGTAGCACTAACCTGCAAATAGAACTCCGAGACACAATATAACCCCTCCGGCAATGAGCGCTCCGAAACCATTATCCGAGTCCTGCGGCGTAGGTGTTGCTGGTGACTTGGAGTACTGCACTCCACCAGCTATGAGGAGTGCTAGACCTGCAACAAAAGACAGTATTATATTCAGTAAAATATATGCATGCTCTTACTTCAATTGTTGGTTTAACCAAGTTAAATGAATGAAGAAAAAGTCTTGTTTTGTCTTTCTTTCTTGCAGCAACCTATGATGAGTCAATCTAATTTTTTGCATAGCGATAGTTTTATAAGCCGAAAAGAGACATAGTAATAATTTTCATACCAGTATAACAAGTGGTTCAATGGATATACTGGTCTGTTTCAAAATTGCGCGTTACTCTATAATCACGATTACAAAAGATTATGTACAAATATGCACTCCTATATTTCTTACCCGTTTCAGGTACAAACGATTTTAAGAGCGGTACAATCCAGTACAAACGATATGCTTCCAATTGTCATCAACAAAAATGTCGTATTTTTAAGTTGGCTGTGAACCATACATATATTCGAACCCCCATATTTTCTCACCCCTTTGAGGTGCAAACGATTTAAAAAGCGGTACAATCCGGTACAAACGTAGTACAATCGAATAGAATTGATATAAACTAATGTTTGTTTAGTCAGTTTCTAACTAACTTCACGTAGGTTGAGAATGTACGTGTTCGGTGTTTGTTACTCTTCAAGGTATAATATCTCCACAAATTCAAGTGTTTCGAATCAAGAAGTTTACAAGCTGAATTAAGAAAAAACTTTTAGAGACGTTTACCAACTGCGCCGAGATAAAGAAAGAATTTATGAAAGCCAAAGATTCGATATCATTAGATTAGGGTTTATTACCATGATAAATGGTAAAAATGATATCAGTACAACCCACTTAACGTGTTCAATGTTAAAAACCTCATAAAAATGTAATTTAACCAAAAATGGACATCGTGTTCTTTCTTGCAAATCGATCAGAGTTTTTGTTTATTCTTCACATAATAATTCTCCCTTGCGATGTTGCCATAAAGGATTTCTTTAAACTACTATATATATACTTTAATACAAGCTAACTACTATCGTCTAACAACTTCGAAATGCATTCAAACGAGTCTCCATTAGGTACATATGTATGTCTGTTTATGGTATCGTATCTATGCAGGTATAGTCAACACTTACAAAAATAAACGAAGCGACTTCTAGCCAGCTTCTATAATGCCAGTACACATATGTAAGTTTAAACTGGTATGACCAGTCTAAATGCAATTTAATTGATTCATTCACTGTTTTTGGACTAGATTACTTTTAGCGTGGGAAACTAAAAGGTTTAAATAAGAATGACAAAGAAAAACTATATACCCCATAACTCTACATTTCAACCGTGCAAAGTTTTCAACAATTACATTACTAATAATAATTATTTTATAAATTATATTGATAGAATACTTATACTTAGATATTTATTTCAGTATGGTTTTTTCCGCCATATATTTTCACGGCGAATCCCCCATATTGTCAACTTCTGATAATGTTACATAATTATTGATTTTTCCTTAGTAATAATTTTAATAAATAAATCTTTACAAAAAAACTATTTACTATCCAATTATTTAATTAAATATATTTATTCAATTATATTATGTTTAAAAATGTTACCTAAAGTATGTTTAAAAATTGTAACAGGTTAAAAAAGGATGTTTACAATTATTATTAAAAATATATGGTATAACTAGCGGACCCGACAGACGTTGTCCTGTCTACACGTCTTTAATTTGAAAATTTCAAACTTTTTTTAATAATTTTTTTGATGAAAATTATTATTCAAATTGTGAATCTAAACCATTCCCAGATCCCCTTGAACACGCACAAAAAATTTCATCAAAATCGGTCCAGTCGTTTGAGAGAAGTTCAGTGACATACACACTCACAGAAGAATTATATATATAAAGATTATTATTAAAAATATATGGTATAACTAGCGGACCCGACAGACGTTGTCCTGTCTACACGTCTTTAATTTGAAAATTTCAAACTTTTTTAAATAATTTTTTTGATGAAAATTATTATTCAAATTGTGAATCTAAACCATTCCCAGATCCCCTTGAACACGCACAAAAAATTTCATCAAAATCGGTCCAGTCGTTTGAGAGAAGTTCAGTGACATACACACTCACAGAAGAATTATATATATAAAGATGTGGTAAACTCTTGCGCGACTCCACATCCTCAATTTTTATTATAAAGATTGTAAATGAATAACAAATGCTTAAATTACAAACCAGACTTTAGTACAATTTTATTAAAGAGATTAATTATAACAGTCCCATAAGTCCCATGATTCAACGTCGGAGTGTACTTTACACCGGAACATAAATCAATGAATAAGAATTTCTTAGTACTACACAACATATTTGCAGAACTATTAAATAAAATTATGATAAATACATCAGAGTAGTTGCTTCTACATAAAGGGCTTAACAATTGTTACCAGGAAACGATAGTGGGTAATGAGAACTACACAATAGACTAGCGTTGTCCTGCGGCTCCGTCCGCGTAGTTCATTTATATATTATTACTATATATCTCCAAATTATAAGCTATGTGTTACTCTGTTTATAAGTTGTATATAATACTGTGAGGTTTCATCAAAATACGTTAACTGCTAAGGATTTTTGCGTGAAAGAGTAAGAAACATATTGCGTACATCTTTACATCTCACAAAATTACGCGTTTATAATATTAGTAGGGTATATATATATATATATATATATATATATATATATATATATATATATATATATATATTGTATACACATACATATTACATACAAACTTAGTTGTAGTCGACTTGCACGCTTATGTAAAACTAGAAATACGAACCTGGAACATATTCGGTTTCAATACCGCATGTTAGGTTTTATTATTATAATATATTAATTATTTTTAATTTCCTTCCCAACCGCAGTCACAACGCAGGTTCTCATTTTACATACGTACATATACGTATGTATTTTCGTTTATTGGCAATTGACTGATTATTATTCAAGTAGTGACCAATTCAAGTAGTATGTATTTAAATATAAATGACATCTACATTAATTAGCATATATGTACTTTGAATTATTACTCCATAGACCACAGTTCCGATCATCAAACAAAAATGCGGCAATAGTCTGTGGTTGAGTTGCTGTCAAAAAATATATTCTCCATATTTGGTACTCTTTTGTTTAAAATCTTAAAAATTATATTAGTTAACAATCAGAAATTAGAAAAATAATAATCGAATTATGTAGTATTACTTATATTGTTATTAAAATATAATTTTTTATTTACGAAAAATATGAGAAACTTTTATTTTTGTTTTAATATACCTATATATTGTAATACTAGCGACTCCCCCTCGCTCCGCTCAGGTTCGTCCCTAGGTACATTTTTTTTTGAGCGGAACCCTAATTCTTTTACTAAAATAAAAGTAGCTTAAGTTACTACTTATAATATCAACTACCTGCCAGTGAAAGTCAAAATCGGCCCAGCCGTTTCGGAGGTTAGCCGGAACAAACAGACAGACAGACAAAAAAATTAAAAATTGTGTTTTTCTTATAAATACCGTATATATAATTCCATATGCATTTAGTAAAAAGCTGTTATTTTGACATTACAAACAGACACTTCAATTTTATTTATCTGTATAGATAAGTAAACAAAGTAGCTTAAAGCGCCAGAGCTTAATTTATAAGCTAAAAGTTTTACTAGGTTTTTAAATAAAACTATCTTTTCGGATTATTTCGCGGATTTATTTTGATTTTTGGTTCCCGACGTTTCGAATGCTTTACAGCAATAATGGTCACGGGAGAGACTGAGGTGTTAGATGTCTCGAAGGTATAGTTGTTAGAGACAGCCTACCCACAATTAACAAAATGAAAAATTGCACCAAGTACCTTACAATATTTTATAACTTTAAACATTTTTATAATTTTTAAATTACTAGGTTATAAAGATACATCATTCGAAACCTATTTCTAAAAACACTATGACCGAGTTGAAAACTGATCCACCTTGACTTGCGACTTGAGTTGTCAGGTCCGATAATAATAATTTATTTAAAAACTCGTATTTTAAAGAAATCGTCATGTTTTAAAATAGTTGTTGTGATTTAGTTTTACAAAATTATATTATTTTCTTTTCGGATTATTTCGCGGATTTATTTTGTGTTTTGGATCCCGACGTTTCGAATGCTTTACAGCAATCATGGTCGTGGGAGGAGACGGTCAGTCTCTCCCGTGACCATGATAGATCCCGAACAGATAGTTTTATTTGAAACCGCGGACACGCCGGCGTTACAGTTAACAATAGATTTCTTAGAAATTTAATTAATTTCTTAGAAATTTACCTGGAGATGTAAGGTCAAATATTCGCGTAAATCTAAGAAAGTATTAAATCATATTACTTATGATTATATTGGAAAATGAAATTATGTGTTTTTATTATAATTTCGACATATTTTACTAAAACATCTATAATCCATCTCTTATTTACACAAACAATACAGATATGTGCATAAAGTATAAATATAAATAAAATGTGAATAAAATATTTCAACCTACTTTTATATACAATTTATGAATAAAAAAATACTGTATTTATTTTGAACGTAATATACTGATAATGTTACTGTTATCTTGCTTGATAATATAAATGGAGTAGGCTCAATAAAAGTTAAAAATAACTACGGAACACTCCCAGTATTTATTGCAGCAATGACCTAGTTAGCATGCATTCCTAATGTATATCGATTTCACGACACTGGTTAGATTTAACCGCTTCTTTAATTCAATCTCAAGGCTATTATGGTGTAAATTATATACTCTTAAACTTCTTGGTTGAATATTAAAAAAATATTTTTAATATCAGTAAGTAATACTAAGCTTACGTAAAACATGTCAGAAATACATACATAGGTATATTGAAAGCCGATAGGTAGGTACCTATGGCCATATTACACCATTATATTTTTATTACTTACTAGCAGAATCCGCGGCTTCGCTCGCGCTAAATTACAACTAAAATTCTTCAACTTTCATCCCCTATTTTACCCCCTTATG